AGATTATGCACGTGTAAATTGTTGTCTCCTTGTGAAGTACACTTTGTGTATGGATGTGCCGTCGCTACTAGTGCTCTGATAGGAAAAAGCTGTGTGCTTTGTGCCATGGTATAATCCTGTCAACACTGAACGGCATACATCATCAGTGCGTGGGATCTGAGTGGTTATATCCAACTATAGAGGTTCGACGGCTTCCCGCCCACCACTTTTTTGTTCGCGGTTTTGGTGTGGCCCAAGATGCACTGGCTTTTGGGGTTTGGGAGGCTTCCACTTGCTGCTTGTATCGATATTCAGGTTTCGGGTTTTAGGCCCAGGGTTTCCCGCCCATCATTGACTTAAGGTTTACCTTCTTGCATCCATGATATGTTTTGAGTGCAGCTTAGGATTTCCATGCGGCACTTGCGTTTTCAGGCGTAGGGTTTTCCAGACACCCTGTGTTGATGAAGTTTAACGCACAACTGCGCACAAGCACCGCGTATCGTTAGAATTTAGGGTTCTTCACCACTTTCTTTTTGGGTTAAAGGTTTACCACGCGACATCTCCGTTCAACCTGTTCATACAGGGCTTAGGATTGTCCATTGGCTATCACTTAGGATTTCAGAAGCGACACTTGTATGGTGGGTGTCGGGTTTCCCAGCCAACAGCATCCAGACGCTATTGAAGTTTAGGGTTTCGGGTATCCTTTATGTTCGTTCTGGGATTGGGTTTCCCCGCGCAGCATCCCCGTTTAGCGCGTAAGGTTTCCTTTCCACGCTGGATAGGTTTCCCACCCAGAAACTTCCATGCACTGGCGAGTTCGCGGTTTCGGGTTTAGGGTCACGGGTTTCCTATCTCGATCGTCTCCGTTGAAGTTTGTACCTTTCCAGCCATCATGTTCTTGTAGGGTTTAGGGTCTCTGATGCGACACCTGCTTTCGGGTGTGGAGATTTCCCACACAACACTGCCGTTTGAGGTTTAGAGCATTCCTTCCATTTTGTTGTAAGGTCGCGCGCTCTTTTCAACATATCCTTTGAGGTTCGACGGCTTTCCACCCACCACGTTTTTGTTCGCGGTTTTGGTGTGGCCCAAGATGCACTGGCTTTTGGGGTTTGGGAGGCTTCCACTTGCTGCTTGTATCGATATTCAGGTTTCGGGTTTTAGGCCCAGGGTTTCCCACCCATCGTTGACTTAAGATTTACTGTCTTGCATCCGTGATATGTTTTTAGTGCAGCTTAGGGTTTCCATGCGGCACTTGCGTTTTAAGGCGTAGGGTTTCCCAAACACCATGTGTTGATGAAGCTTAACGCATAACTGGGCACAAACACATGTGTGCCGTTAAAATGTAGGGTTTTCGACCACTGTCTTTTTGGGTTAAAAGTCTACCACGCAACATCTCCCTGCAACCTGTCCATACAGGGTTTAGGCTTGTCCACTCACTATCACTATATTGCTTTAGCGTTAGGATTTCAGAAGCGACGCTTGTTTGGCGGCATCCCCGTTTAGCGTGTAAGGCTCCCGTTCCACAAGGTTCGCGTCCGGTTTTCCTGCGCGACACTTCCGTTCAAAACCCGACCTGTTTTTTAGCGCTTGGAGCTCTGCACCCACTATCTTCCGTTAGAATCAAGGGTTCCCACTTGTTCACTCGGCATGTTGTATCAACATGCTATAGTTCAACGCCTTTCACCCAGAGTGTGTTTCAACATTCAGTCAGGGTTGCGCACACGACATTGGCTTTTGGGGTTTGAGGTTTTCTAGCCAAGACGTTCCAACATATACATGTACTTAGCAAGCAAAAGGAGAGCATTTTCCAGCATGCGCGCATGTGAGCAAGTTGTCCAATTCCAGTTTTCTTCGTCATCTGGAAATCTGGAAGCATGGCCTTCGGAGCAATTCCTTGCATTTGGAAATCTTTTCCTTGCAGCCTTTGCAAGCAAATGAGGGCGTTTCCTATTTCTCGAACAATTGAGTCGTTTTCCGATTCCATTTTTTAGTTTCGCATGAAGTAAGCGAGCATGTTTTCCTTTTTCCCATGTTAGTTTCTGCAACACCATCCTCGCGTCGCAGGACAGCGAAGGGTTAAGTCTTTGGTTTAGGCTTTCCACAGTTTGCCGCCCACAACTCCAATTTTTGTTTTCCAGGCTTTCCTCCATTAATTATCGCTTTTCTGTGTTTGAAGTCGTCTTGGAGGGTTTAGGATTTGAGGGTTTCCCATTTCAACTTGTTATTTTGTGTTAGCATTTCGGGTTTCCCACGCGACATGCTTTTGGAATTTGAGATTTTGGTGTTATGTCATTTTAAGGTTTACCGTTGCCCACGCAACTTTTGTGGGCCTGCACAATCTGCAAAGCCGGAGTGTTAACCAGGCTACCCGACGGTTTTAAGTAACGCTCCTGAACATAGACTGACGCATGTATTGGTGGTTAGGTAGGTACGCATGTAGGTTGGTGCTGGTTTGTCACATGTCCGTGCGGGCGTCCGAATTGCCAGAACTGAAAAGCCATCCCTGCGTCCAACAATTTGCACGGGGGTCGGGTGAGGTGGGGGCGGGCGCTCTAATTAGTTCTTCAATTGTTTGCGCAGATGCGGAACGGTTGCTCAGTTTCTTTCTCCTGCGGGAAACCGCTGTTTGGTGTTGGCAGCCCACCACCCACTGTTTGCATAACATGTCCACCGGCTTAACCATCGAAAATCATGAGGAGTGATTTCAGTTGCGAAAGCAACAGTGCGTCAAGGTAGCCCTGACGTCGCATCTGCACGGCGCTGGATGGTGCTGCTAGAAGCCGCGCGCCTCACAGGACCGTGCACTGATGTCGCATTTGCAGGAACACTAGTGTCAGAGATTTGTTGATCCTCGTTGGCTTGACTGTCGCGCTTTCCGACGACTGTTCTCGCTGAAAACAAGCTTGTTGAGATACTTGTTGCAAGTGTCCCTGTTGTCATTCAACAAGACTGGACAAGTGGGACAGCGAAGATAATAGATCCAGCTTTTGCCCTCTGTGCGTGCCTCTGGGTACACCGATTCCGACGTCAGGTGATGCACGCGAGGATGTCAGTGAATGTGAAGACAGCGACGAGGAGAGCACATCTTGTGCCTTGTCCCAATGCTGAAGAGACACAGAGGTCATCTTCGCGCCGTAGCATTTTCTTCTAACAGGTGCTGTGAGCAGTATCCTCTCCATCACAACAGCGACCTCCTCGGCGTCAGAGCCCGAGCCTTCCACGCCGAAGTTCGGCTCGAAGGCTGGGACCTCGAGCTTCGTAACTGTTACATCTGTAGTTCGGGATAGCGGCCTTGGCAAGGCCAAACCGCAAGCCGCCATCACTGAGGTCTTGGAGGCATGGATCCGTGATGTTGGGTCGCACGAACGGTTCATCCTTCCATGCCTAACTGGCATTGTCACTTCGCGCAATTGTTTGTAATGAAAGACAGGAAGCAACATTGGTGTTTGAGTGCGGTGGGTTTCCATGCAAAACGATAGCAAGACCAACAAACTTGTCATTGATGTCCAACAACAAAACGGGGAGGGCAGTTTATCGTTTGACTCGACGCTGAAAACAGGCTTGTGCTGCAAGCATCTCGCCCAACTGCCCTCCATCCCGAAACCTTCCGAGCAAGAGCCCGTAAGACATCGTTGGTCTGATCATTGAGATGATCACCTCGAGAAGCGGGATCGGTGTGCTACCCTGTGATGCAGTGCGCTTGTGGGCCATTTTCAGTCAAGTTCCACTCGCTGCTCTGTGGACATCGTAGCTTCACGGAGTTCGATCCAAAGACGGATAAGACAGGACATGCCGCTGTTTGTTATGGTAATCAAAGTGCAAGAGGAAAGCTTCAGTTGTCCTGGCCAGGTTGATTGCCGCCTTCTTGACCAACAGTTTTCTGCTTGGCTGCCTTTCCTCCAGGATTGCCCCCTAAGGGCGCGACCTCGGTGGAATGACAGGCTGTCGAGTAGTCACCGAGAAGGCGATATGTCAGATCTCGATGTCGGGGGCAGGCATGATGCAACACGTTTAAGGTGGTTAGAAGGAGGCAACAATAACTGGTTGCTGAATCGCCTTGTCCAACGATGTTTTCTCATGCTTTCGCAACTAAACGAGCAACATACAGACTAACATGTTTCAATTTCGATGGAAGGAAGCGCACCACCTGGCCTAGGGCGGTCAATCTGTTGAATGGCCGTTGAAACAAAGGTGTCCCATATTCGGAAATAACTCGAAGCCCGTGCAGCAGTCCAAGCAAAAGTAGCATTACGGGCCAGACAAAGACACAAAGCCAAGACCAGCAATGTTGGCCGGAAGAGTCGCCGTTTGTTGCGCGATTGGTCACCTGCCCGTTTCAAGCCAGACCAAGTCTGTCGATGGGGCAGTGAGGCCATGCCAAGCCGCACATACGTTTTTTGCGTGCGCGACAGCCGGCCGAGAGGTGCTAATGTTTGAGTTTGAACCGCCGCTTGAAGTCCTGATGGCTCCTACGACCTGTGGCCCTTTCAAATGCCGAGGGCTCCCCAATCAGCATGAGTTATTCTTTCCTTCGCAAGCTCGAGGAAGCGAAAGCCAAAAATTCTGCAAGTTTAAAACCAATCTCCTTGATAGAAGAACAGTTGAGTTGGCGACCGAAAATATCAAGGCAGCCTCCTTCGAAAGATGTTGCTGTGCGGAAGGGAGCGGATGGTCCAGCTGGAAGGTCTAGCTTGCAAGGCTTGTGCTGAAGCAGTTGGCGCCATGGAAAAACAACAGTGCCAAACGGGATCACGCGGGTCGCTGGGGCCCACGGGGGAACAGCATCCAGTGCTGCGAAGCATGCCAACACGCCGAGGCACCAAACGCGCGGGCAGGGGCGCGCGGAAGGTTAGTTGACGCACTACAAAATGCAATGTCACGGCTTTCATGTCAATGTGTTCAGTGACCAGAAGATGCTTTTCTGGGCTTGGGCTGTGAGAGCTTTGGGAATTTCATCGAAGTGGACCAGCTCCCGTTGGTTATCGCGAGGAGCAGATGGTCTTTGGTGATCGCAGTGCGGCGGCTGTGGCTTGGGTCAGAGATGTGGAAACCGTGGAGTCTCAGCAGTCTTTGCAGGCCATCATGTGCTGCGGCTGATGAATCCTGACGTAAGGTTGCCGATGGCTTGTCCTCTGCTCTGCGACACCTGTGGGCCTTCATCTGTCGTGTAGCGGACGACGAAGTCCCTGAGGCGACGGAAACATAAGCGGATGATTTGCTTGTTGCCTCCTGACAGGCTCCGCTGGAGGCTTCGCAAGCTGCCGAACGGGCGCTAGCGATTGCAAGCCAAGACGCCAGTCTCTGACTCAGCGAAGAGGACTCGCATGATTCGCAATGCACGGCATAAAGTGCATACGCTGAAATCTTTGTACAGCTCTGCCATCCTCGCTCGAGGCCACAAGATGTTGCGGGAGAGCCTGGACCGTCTGGTTGGAGAATTCCTCTCGCGCATGCAGCAAGCGGTTGAGGACTGGCTCCAGATGCCGCTAGACTGCAGTTCAAAAGACTATGGCCAAGTAAAGCGGCAGAAAGCACATCTGAGAAGAGTCGAGGCTTTTTGTGGATATGATTTGCTGTTTGATTCTCCGAAGCAGTGTGGACGAGAGAAGATTTCAGGCAACTCCCACCACGGCCCTGGTGAAAGAAAAAGATTTGTCAAAACTGATCCTTGTAACAACCAAAAGCTCAGGGACTCCTGCGGGTCCATAGAGGGGATGCTGGCAATCCTTTGCATGCGCCAAGCCTGCCGCACATGAGTAAGCACTCTAAATGTGTGGTCTTCTTTGATGAGCTCGATCCTGCAGCTCGGCCCGTACATGGTCATCCCATGTTTCAATCGCAGAGTGTTCTTCTGCATGCCGACCCGTCCAGTGTATGCCGCTTGCAAACTGCTTTAGTCAGTAGACAGAGCAGGTTTCAGGCGAGCAGTGAAAAATTCTATCTGAATCTGAGTCTCGTTACCTGAGCATGGAAAGGGAGTCTTTTACTCACACAGTGGGGAGCCACTCTGTTGCGGTCTTTATGCATGTCTGGATTGTCCATCAGTCCATCAGATGTCTGGTCAGTCCATAATGCTCGCTAGAAGAGAAGATTGAAGGAAGGAAAGGAGCCACCTTCAGAAACCCAGAAACAGAGAGAAAGATCGGGAAGTGATGAGCATAGAATGTCATTGAGAACGGTTGGCTTGCGTCTGGATGAGAGCTGAGGACAGACCCGGGTGCCGAAGACCTAAGTCACCTGTCGCAGTGGCTGCTCTTCGAGGCGGACCCTCTTGAAGTTCTTCTGAGTCAAGTATATTTTGACGAGTCTGAGTATGGTTTTCCTCAGGCGCGGCCAGCGATCATTTATTTCTGCGACGCTGCCGAGTCCTTTGCAGGACTCGACGCTGCGACTCGTGCAGCTCGTAGAGTTGTAGAGGTTGCCACAAGCACGACTCCTGTACCACACGGGTAACACGGGTGCATGCGCGGGAACTGTAGGACGGTTGGACCGCAGCCGGACAGTCTACGACTCTTTGGAGAAGCTCTCGCTTCGCGAATGGGAGTCCAGGAGCTGTGCCACGGCAAACGAGTCCGCTTGATGCTGCGCCGCTGCGCGTGACCGGCGCGGCAACAGCCATGAATAGGAAGCAGCTTCGAGGTGAAGAGTCTGCAGCCCTGTTCGCACAGATCTTCGAAGGGTATGGCGAGGCCCCGGTGATAAAATGCCCGAGCTTCGGCCCTCTGCGCCTCTTGGGAAGGCTGTTCCGGATGTGGCATCGGCTCTGCGGCGCCTGGGTGCCGCTGCGGCGCTGTGGCGGCGCTGGCGTGGCCATGCTGAGGCCACGGAGCGTGCCAGGGCCCCGGCTGCCAACAGATGCGAGTCGAAGCTTTTGGGTTTGGGTGGCTGCTGCTGCTGCTGCTGCTGCTGCTGCTGCTGCTGCTGCTGCTGCTGCTGCTGCTCGTTCTGCACCTGCTCCTGCTCCTCCGCAACTGCCCACCACCTGTAACCCGCCCGCGGCCTCCGGCTGCAAAATCCGCCTATACCCGATCAGGCTGAAGCAGACAGAGCATGTAGAGATGACGCAGCCCATATTGAACTGAAGTTGGGGAATGACTCCCCGGCTTCTTATGTCTCAAGTCGGTGTCATCCCAAGAATGTGTTGGCGCTTCCAGGCTGCCTCAGTGCTGGTCGCTAGCCTCAATGCCGCACTCCGTTCGCAACGAGCTGCTGCTCAGCCGCTACGGCAGGATGGGGATGGGCTGCTGCAGCACCGACCTGTGTGGATGACGTTCGGATTCATGGCACGTGCCTGGTTGTCGTTTTGGAAATATGAACGCAAAATGCTGCCCCGTCAGGAGGTGCAGATGTTCATTCGTACTCGGAAAAGGCGTCGTTCCTTTCGGCGCACTTTGCAAGACTTCCAGATGCCTGGCAATGAGAGACGAACACTCTCCTCCAATCTTGCTTGCAAGATGGCTTCACACCGAGAATGCACATGCAAAAGAGCACTCTCACCAGGCTTACTGCATTTCGTGTGAGTGATGGCATCAACAACCAGAAGATGCTTGAATTAGTTGTCCTTGAGTAGTTCGGCTGAGCCCGTATATAGCTGTTCCCTCAAGCAGAATGATGACACTGGGGTTAATACGTTATAGGAGTAAAAGGATTATAGGTGGCTGAAGCACGACGCTGCGTGGCGCTGTTCCGACCAACAGAGTGTCAACCCGAACTCATCGTACTTGTAATGGCCAGCAGGTTGGTGCCGCTTATTGCCTTGAAAATGCGAACAGTCATGGCAGGACTCGGCAGGACGCCACTATTCGTTGGGGCTTCGCTCGAAGTCTTGGCAGTCCTAGAGGTGTGGATTTCGGGATCTACAGTCCCATGATAGCACCGGGGCAGCGGAAGCCACGAGCCGATAACCTAAACTCGCACAATGATTCATTCGTCCTGTCAGCGACACTCAAGTCTCGTCAGATCTTGCAAGGAAAATGGGAGCATGCGGTGAGAAGTCTCACGACTGCTCGGAGGAAGTGCTCCACCAAGCGCTGCAGGACTGCCTAACATGGCCTGTAATGGGGAAAGTTTGGGTGCCATGTGCGTTTGCCGTGGCACTACAGGTCACGTTAAAGCAACGAAATGTGCGGTTTTTGCATCGGTGGCGTCTCCCCAACAAAGCACTCTTGCACACTGACCACCAGAGGGCCAGGCTTCCAGACCCTGAGGTCCCAGGCCCAAAACCCAAACCCAAAACTCCTGGACTAACCGTAGACCCAGCTTCGTTGTCTCGCTCTCGGCAGGGCTCACTCCGGGGTCCTAAAGAGCCGCAGACCATCTCAGACCTGAGGACGCTGTGCAGCTCGGCAGCTTCTGCCGCAGCGCAGCTGCGGAGCCTGGATTCTGGGCCTCCGAGACGACCACAGCGATGTGCGTTGAGGCCCAAGGGCGTCCAAGGGCCCAAGCCGTCTCAAGCCTTGAAGCGCGCTTGAAGCTGAAGGCAAGCCTCCTAAGCCCAAAGATGCAGAGGTACTCTCGTCTTTTGCCAAGGCGTTCGAGTCGGAGGCGTGCACCCGGCATTGCGGGGTCTCGGGAGTGTGGTCATGAGCTTCCTGCTTTCCGAGCCAATCGGTCTTGGCAGGTTTCTTCGTTGGCTGAGGCCTTGGTGTCCGTGCATGCGACGAATCATGGCGACGATGTCAGGATACAGAGGTTTAGCACGGGAGAGGATGCAGGCGTCCTGACGCATGCCGCGCGTGGCTGGGCTCGATTCTTGGACACCTTGCCTGGTAATGTCACACTGCAGCCTTGTCGGCGGGCAGCGGTGGCGCTGATGGCCAACACCTGGACCCAGCACTTAATTCGATTTCCCCCGCGAGGATGGTCTGCTGCGAGGATGCTGTCAGTCTTGCAGGCAGATGAAGCTGCAGTGATGCACGTGCGAGGCGAGCGAGGCGAGGCAGGTGCTCCGGAAGTCGAAAGCTTTCTGGCAGTGCTCTCTGCACTGCGTCGGATTCTGAGAAATGGAAAGGCGGAGTGGAAGGACTTAGCAAACGCAGAGGCAGAGCTTCAAAGATTACTCGATGAGGATACTGGAAGGGCTGTGGCCCAAGCGTTTTGGCAGGCAGTGAGCCAGTAGTTCTGCAGTTATTTATTGGCTGGCGAGTCAGATCCGTGGATGCTTTGATGCTTGGCTGCCGGAAGGTTGCCGGGCAGGCTTGTACAGAAACGCCACTTTGGCTCACGCCCCTCCTTTTGAAAGGCTTGGGTTGTGGGACTCCTGGATCTGGGCCGAGAGCGCCGAGAGCTTTGCAGCAGGAGGTTCTAGATCAAGCAAGATTCCTCCGCGCTCTTAGCCCCTGTAAAGTCATGCTGGCGAGCCAGTCTGCCAGGGGGGTGCAATCGGGGACGTGCGGGTGCGGGTTGTTGCTCCATGACAATTGGTTCACTGCACGCGAAGCACATGAAATTATAGGGCCGGCAGAATGCTTGGCCCACACAGATGCACGATCACTTCTCACGGCGGGGTGCCTTGTTGAATTGCTGTTTTCGAGAGTCTACGGGCACACATGGCAGGGTTTTCGCAGGCTAAGCGGCCAGGCTTGGAGGCTGTTGGAGAGAGATGCTTATACTACTCGAACCGAGCCTTGAGCAGTTCAAGGCCTGGGAGTTTAGGTTCTGAAAGCGACTCGACTCCAGACCGAACGGAGTGCTCCTTCTGGGCGCCTGGTCACCCTGAGATTCTTGTAGAAATTTCAACTGGTTGTTTGCACGGAGCCCCACCATAACAGTAAATTGTAGGGTCTGAAGCCCTTATGGAAATCAAAGGCCAATTCCATGTTCCACGTTGCCACCATGCTAGTGCTGGCGTGTCGATACGGTTGTGCCCCACGGGCTACCACGCTGTGTGGAGATGCTGCGAAGCCAAAGGCTTTCGCCTATCAGTTTTGGCTCTGAGCAGAAGGCTGCAGAGCAATTCGCGATGAAGCACCTCAAAGGGCGGTCCACGAGGAAAGTGCGGCAAGACAAGACCAAAGAAATCATTGATCTGTTCATCCCGCCTCGATAAGATTCGGGGGCAAGATTTATTTGTTCTGGTGGTTTTGGTCCAGCTTTGGTTATTCAATGTTTGATTCTCGTGGTCTACTATCGGACGATACCATACCATTCCATGCCATACTATGCCGAAGCATGCCACAGATTACACACATTTGTACTAAGGTGCACGCAAACAGTTTAAGGACATCGATGTCGACGAAGTGAAGCGACATCCGGGATATCTTACGATCTAGTGGGACATCGGTGCACTATGGTGCACTTCATTTAGGCAGACGGCAGGACGATATCGAACATCCGGGCCAGCTCGTTTAAGAAAAGAAAGTTGAAGAACAGTTTGAAGAACGAGACGTCGTGCAACAGTGCCCTTACGGTTTCGGTTGTAGGCCTGTAGGGCCTTGAGGGAGTTTCGGGCTGAGGGTGTTCAGCATCAAGGTTGCGGTTTAGGCGTTCAGGCGTTCCAGGCTAACAGGTTGGGTTTCGGTTTTGTATTAGTGTGAGAATTTGTGATGTTGTTTAGGGCTGGTTGTGGCGGGCTGGCTTTTGGGCTATAGGGTTTATGCAGTAGTGCTCTGAGGTTAGGGCTGGTTTGGCGGTCAGATGCGGTCAGGTTGCGTGTCCCCAGTGGTGAGGCAGGAGCACTACGCGTTCAAGGCGTCTGTTAAATGTTAGCTGTTCGCAATATATGCAAGTCTTTCCTTCGTAGATGCGCGCTGGGGGGAGCCGCCCTCCCCCCCGCCCCAACCCAACTGAAGCCAAGCCAAGCCAAGCCACGCCAAGGGCCAAGTCCAGCCAAGCCAAGCACCCCTGCGCGACCCCCCTTCCCGAACAAAAGCTGCGAAACATTGAAACGCATGCAAACATGCATTCCGCACACCCACACTTGTACTTGGCTTTCGTATGCTGCGTTCCGCTTCAAGGTATTGCTTCGTATGAACCGACCCAGCAAAAAGCACTAAGACAGGTGCACTAAGACAGGTTGCAGATGTCTTTAGCTTGCAGCGAGTGTCCACGGTCCTTGCTAGGCCTGACTTTCGATGCAGCACCAACAGGTACTGATTAACGGAAGCTTCCTTGGGAGCCGGCTTGCGTTCGTGCCGATGTCGTATTTCCCTGTTCTTCCTGGCGCAGTGGATGATGCTGCCACGCCAGCGCCAAGTCCGAAGATGCATGGCTTGCATGGGCATGATGCAGGCAGTGCCGTCCTCGCAGATTTGCTGGACCCTTCCGATGCGTCCCGTGCAGGTGACATCGAGGCACCCCGTCCTCCGGTTCGAAACGTGGTTTTGACCGTCGAGCAGAAGGACCAGCCTGAGTCGAAGTCGTGTTGTGCCGATTCCTTGGTGCTGGTTGAAAGTCACATATGGCCGAGGTACGTGTAACTTGTGGGTATCTGACTTTCTCTCGTTGTCATGTCGTGTTGCTATGCCCGTTCACGATTTGCGCGGCTTTGCACTAGGAGAAGCTGCAGCAATGGCAGCGGATGGCCGAGCACGGCTTCCAGATTCATCGTCGAGCCGAGCGGTATTATGCCACTTGTCTTGCCAACACCATGGGATGACGTTGTCTTCCATTATTCCCTCAAGAACATGGAGGAGCGATTCTGTCGCGGAGTCCTTGAGCAGCTTTTGTCCTGCGCTGACATGTGCTCTGTGTTTGTGGAAGGTTTGGTGTGCCAACGACTCTTGAGATGTTGTTTCCCCCCTCCTGAACAGGTTACTGGTGAATCCATCCACCGTTGCGGCTTTTTATGTTGACAGTGAGTGTTTCAGTTAGACACGATCTTGCGACAGTGACAGTGTCGCTAGCTAGTATGTATTTTGCCGATTCCCTCAACTATTGCATTCTGCATTATATGAGCCCTCGCTAAGGAGCATGTGAATTTCTGGACCCTTTCACTGCCATCGGCCCGCGTCTGAGCTTCGGCCTTCGTGCTCGCCGTGCCGGCATGAGACGGTCCAGCAGTAGACTGCTTGGTGAGGTAGTCCTATCTGCTGTGGCGACAGTCTGGACCCTGGCGACGGAAAACAGCCAGTTCGAAAACAGCCGGGTCTACATCGCCTCCATCTCAGGCACGGCTCCATGCTCAGTAGGTGAGGTCCATGGTAGCAGTCGAAGCGGCCTAACGCCCCTGAAGAATTCTGAATTTGCCAGGCCTCGGCACAATTGTCACCTCAATCGGGACGTACTGGAGATGGCAAGCACGAATGGAGAAGACACTTGGTGCTGCCCGAAGGTAGTTTCGCTTCGCCCACTGACCCGCCGTAGTGCAATGGTTGCAAGCAGTCAAGGAATCGGTTTGCCTCCGAGCGATACAACAGTGCCTTGCCAGCAATGGTCATGTGATTCAAGTATTGTGCTGTTTAGACCGTAGACAAGTTGAAGGCGACTGCTCGCTGCAAGCCTCGGTTGATCATGTCGTTGTGCTCCAGGTCTGACCAACAGGCTGACGTTGCTCAAAGCCCGCTTGCAGATGGGTGACATCGAATTTGCCCATGTCTTGCAGGAGACAAGAAACTCTTTTCAAAGAGTCTAAGGGTTCGTCCAAGAGTGGTGCATTAAGGGTTTTGCAGCTACCTGTGGCAGCTACACAAAGCCCAGCGCATGCATTGAGCATCGGCTCCTGATGCTTTCCCCTGGCGGCAGGAAGTGGAAAGCACCATCCATGAGATCCTGAAAACATGTGGACCGCCAGACCTCTGGGTTCAGCAGCGTTTCGAGTGTCCTGGCTGGCACAAGTCTCCGAGTCCTTCGGCTACCTGTGCCGCAAAGCACTGCACTGCGCTGCACATGCCTCGGTGAGGTGGGAGGAGAAGACGAGTCCCATCCTGAGCTCAAGAGCGGAGCGGCTAACATTTCCTGATTCGCCTTTCTGATTCGCTAGTCGGAAGCCGAGGCCAGTACGAACTGCTGGACCGCCTGACGAACCTCCGCGATGTAAGCCCTTGGGTCCGATGCTGCTTTCCGTGCTGCTGGCAGACTGTGACGAAGTTATGTAGAAGGAGAGAAGTCCGATGAAATTGTTTGGGCTTGACATGTGCAAGCGTCTAAGATACGGGTGGTCTTCATTGTGCTTTGCGTTTTGCAGGAGAATACGTGGCAACGGCGAGGTTGCCTGTTTGCTCTGGTGATGGTGTGACCAAGTCTTGTGTAGACTTGAATGCTGCTGGATGCACAATGAGATGCTTCCGAGTAATTCGTGTGTGAACACCTGCAGGTGGAGCCATCGAGTATTTTGGACCAGAAGATTCGGGAATTTAGCAAAAAAACTCAAGATGTGAGCGTGGACGAGTTCAAAGACTACTTCTGGCAGCTGTTTCGAATGGCGTCCAACACAAACAATCTGGAGATGTGCAAAAATCTGCTACGAGCGGTCCCGAACGCTCTGAAGGATGAGAAGGAAGTGCATTTCCAGTCGCTGGAGCCATCTGGGAAATCTCCTCTGCATTTTTCTGTCGCAGATCATTTTCATCAACTGGGCCAATGGCTTTTCGAGACCTACCCGCGCGAGATGAAGAGTCACTGCTTGATGCAAGACCATCATGGCCGGATACCGCTAGACTACATGGAGCCGCGCAAGGCTCTCCAGCCTCACCAGGAAGGTGCGCTCGCGTAGCGAGCTGCGGGCAAAAGCATTGAGCGAGTGGTAAACCCCTGACTCAACAATTCTCTGCAGGTCCTCTATCCTTTCGCATAATGTAGCGAGGAGATTCCAAAAGCTGCTATTCCTGTGCAAACGGATCGTTGATGGAGGCTCAGCCTTTTATCCAGTGCTTCTCTTCGAGACGTTCCAGGAATGGTGCCAGGTGCCAAGGAACTGTTAAGTTGAAGAGAGCCGCTGGGCACAACGGGAATCGCAATGACCTTGAGAGCGCTATTGTGAGGCACAGAGATGGGGCCGTACACCGATGATCGACACAGCTTTGAAGACAAGGACTTGAATTTGTTGACGGGTGGCAAAGCTCACCCTCCCTGCGCAGCGCTTGCAAAAGGCATTTTCAGTGACAGGAGCGAATGAAGCGCATCGGTGCCGATTTGTTGAAGCGCATTCTGGAGTGGGGCATGAGGCCTGCGATCGACGGGCGCACTTTAATATTTGATTAAGGTACCATGAGAGTCACAGGATTCATCTCACTCTTTGCTGATTCTGCGAAGGCATGTGGACGTGGCTTGCACCAAACGGCACACGGTGCTCCACCTGCTTGCTGTGCATGGTGTGGAGGTCGTCCGTCTGCACACGCTACCATCAGGGTGTTTCATTGCAGCCTTCGACGAACATGAATTACGAGTCTGCCCACACGCGTTCGTGTGTTCGCAGGAGCAAGAAGTGTTGGGCCTACAACGCGGGTCTCCTGCAGGGTCCGACACGGCACACGAAACAGGCCGGGGACATCCGGGGACTATCTATCCCATGCTTGCCATGCCTCTCCTCTCTTTCCCTTTCAGTATTTCTCCCCTCTTTCCAGATCTTGCTCTTCTTTCTTCTCCATCGCGCTACCGCTTCCTGGCTTTTGCATCCATCCCTGGAGAGTGGAGAGTCCTCTGATCCAGCTCACAGGTACCCTGCTTGAAATACTCCTTCGGCAGAAGGAGTTTGACGCCGACATCAGGGATGCTACATCGGAAAGCAAGGTGCAGGAGCCAGATTCACTAGCTCTTAGAGTCGTATGGTAGTGTGATTCTAGGCATTAGGTCCACCGGCTGCCGGGTAATGAACGGGCTCTAGCAAAGGTGGGACAATGGCTCATGACACAGCCGCAGTCGCGGTCACACACCCGTTGCCGCTCAGGCACCAATGGAGCTGGCCACCGAGCAGCGACATGCCAAGGCAAGGCAGAGGATCCAGCAAATTACTCATGGAAGCACGATCTTGAAGCTTACCTGTTGTTTGCAAAGCATTTCTGTTGGGTGTTGTAAGGGATGAACTGAAGGCTTGGCATGTTTGTGCACCGACGGAGATGGAGATACTGACATGATAGACCAGAAACACAAGTGGGTCAGCAAAAATCACGCTGATGGTTGGGGTTCGGGGTGTTTGATCTTGGTGGTTGCATTGACTCTTGGCATGCAGCTGAACTGGTACATCTTGGAACGTGTCGGAGAGGGGATTGAGATTGATGTCTGTAACAAAGGCTAAACATAGCTAAACCATCCGGCGCCAGGAGCTCGTGATGAAGCTGGATTAAATAATCACCAAACCCGAAGCACAGTGGAATACAGTGCTCTGAACCTGCCTCGTGCAACGCAAAGTTGCTTGGTGGGTTGCCAGAAACCTTAACCTCGAAAGATATTGTGTATTATATATCAAGCATCCTATCCGGTCTCCCACAACATAGCGAACGTGTAATAATGAACCAAGAACCGCGACTAAACTGCACCACAACTACCACAACCACGCTCACAAGCCTTCGACACCTTCAACCCACATGCTAAATCCTAAGCCCACTGAAATCATCAGCCCTAACTAGAACCTTACTCCCAGCCTTCAACATCCGGAGCCCGAATCCCTGCCAATTAAATTTCCAACTCCCAACCCTACACTTTGAGCCCTACATCCCAAACCCTCAGCCGTAAACCCTCAATAATGTCTGAAAGCAAGGGCCTCCCCGCTTGGGTTGAATGGGCGGCGGCGGCCCCTTTGAACTGGCACACGCAAAGTGACGGAGAGTTCCACACAGGCCACAAAGCTCTTCTTCGAAGCCATGCTGTCCGAGATGCACGAGATCAAAGACGACCATCAAAAGCAGGAGCGTATGAGAAGCATCTCAGGGATCTTTAACCGAAGCGGCAAGAAGCACGGGGTATCGGTATGCCAAAGGCAAGTTTAAGGCCTTTAGGGGCTTGACCCGTCCATTGGTCTGCAGCATCGTTTCGCGAAGTCTTTCCCCCATTTTCGTCATGTGCGCTATGTTATCGTGCTTCCAACCGCATGTGGGCCAGCTGTATGCGCAGTATATGCTTCTAGCACACTGCTCGTTCAGTCATCCGGGTCCAGCAATTTTTCACATATGCACGAACAAGCACTCGCGCGCACACCCAAGTTCCTGTAAATCCTTGGTTTCCCCTTTGATTTACCCAGCCCCCGCTCAAGCAACGTCAAGTTTGTCGGGCGGGTGCCTCAGAAGAGAATGAGCAACTGAATCGAGACTCATGCGTTGTGGGGGGTTTGCTTCTCGAGGACCGTTTCAAAGGTCTGAAAACCATCCTGGAAGACTCGTTGATTCAGGCCTTCAGTGCTTGACAGACCCTCCTCTCAGTACATGTAGCTACCTGCATTTCTCTACGTATCATGATGGGATGAGCTTGTTGCCTGTATGCCCAGCTTCATGCTCGCCACGATGGCCATCCAGTGGAGCGAAGCAAAGATGTCAAGCAGATTTGTTGCTCATGCACCTCGACGGCACGAGCGAAGTGGTTTAGGTCCAGCATGTCCAGCTTACGACCCACCCATGTCCTTGAGCCCTTGAGGTGCACAGCCCGAAAGACTACTGGGGCACTTGAAGGTCCAGGATGACTTACGAAACTTCGTCGAGATGAAGTTGCAGGTAGCATGGCCGGCTGTGTAGAAGTGACGCGATTTCTTTCCGAGACTTGATTGAGGTCCACGGATATGAAGCTACTCTGCTCCACTATGCATGTGGTGCTGACCCCTTGATGCCTGGCCGTAAGTTGAGAAGTACACTGACAGTACACGAGGGCTTCAGTTCTGCAAACCGGTTTTGCAGATGGAGCGCACGCATCTCAGGATTGACGCAGCAAGGCTTCAACATGACTCTGGGGCAAGTTTGGCCCGGCGGTTGCTGGAGCAGCGCGCGGCGAACTCGCAAGATTCTCTTCGAAAAACACCTTTGAGCTGGGCTGTGACGAAGCACCTTCCCAGCATTGCTTGGGACATCTGCAGCTTAGCAGCAACAAGCCGAGCACCGTGTTTGCTGCGACCAGCGGTCATTTCCTAGCTTGAATTCAAGGTGAGTTCGGCATCGAGAACGATGTCGCAGATGTTCTCGATGATTCTTCTGCGAAACAGTGAGGGGGGGACAGCCTGCAAGTACACTTTGCAATGCAGCTGCACAGCTTCGCTCCGAGGACATCGAGCATCATTTGGCCAGCCTCCCCGAGGAATATGCACTCTTCCGCGTGAGCATGGACTCTGCAAAGGTCCTTCCGATTTCTGCTTTTTGGTCGTGACGGCAAGCCCCCAGCATTTTGTGTTTCGAGCCAGTCCTGATTCGGCTTTGTGAGCAGGCGGTTCCAGCAGGTTTTGGATCCCTAGTGCTCTGGATCGAATTTGAGTGTCTCGGACCTGAGAACGATGCAGAATTCGACAGCACCAAGTTGCGTTTGCCGAGGACAGGGGCTCGGACATACCTCGCCACCCGACTGCGCTGCCGGTGAGACTCGCATCGAACCGTACTGTGCAGCCAAGGATGGCTGCGTGTCACCGTCTCCAGAACCGGGCAAAACTGTCTTGGAGTTTAGACCTTCGAGCATGGTGGCCCCCTTCCAGTTTCAGCTGGATTCGAGACTCGTCATCGCAGAGTGGTGATGCAAGTTCGCTATTCCTTTGGGATGCAACCGCATAGCTGTGACGGCTCGGATCGTGGATTGCAGGGACGGTGTGCAGCTGGACAAAGTCCCTGGACGTCTGAGCTTCACCTTGGAAGGTTTGCTCCTAGGTGCACCAGCTGCAAGTTTCGAGCAGAGACAGAAAGGCACAGGGCCTTTCAGTTACTCAGGTCAGAAGGACCATGAGACGGGCATGGTCATCGAAGAGCAGTGGGTAACTCTCTTTCCGAACTTGCCTCTGAAGGCTGGGCTCTGGGGCTTCATGCTGAGACTTCATGTGTCCTGCTACCATGCTACCAGGAGTGGTGCCAGACTACAAAGACCAAACAACGTCTGGAGTTCATGAACTATCATTCGAAGCGCACTTTGGCCATGAGAAAGCGGCACGGTGTCAGTTCAACACTGTGCAGCATGTTCGCGTGCTTGTCGTTCCTCCGAAGAGTTGGTGCAAACCACGAGAAAAGAGCGGTAGTGCGTGACTCACACGTGCCTCGCATCGATGGCTGTGAGATGCCGCCTTGTCTGTTGGCTTCTTTGGAGCTGGCTGGCCTACACGTGCCATGACTGCCTGGCGGGATTTGCTGCTCCAAGAGAAGCGCTGAGGGCGTCAAAGCGGGCAGGAGAGCCTCGGTCGGATCCACACAAAGCGATGTCTGGCATGACATCTGGCTCTCTGAGACTGGGGAGGCAAGCGATCCCGGTCCCAATCCCTCGAGACTCTCTGGCCAGGCCGGAGCACAGACCGAGGCCGCTGATGAGGATACTTCTTCTCGACGGGGCTTTGCTCACCCTGGCATTCGCAATCAATATCAAGTGTGCCGCAAAAATGCAGGTGCTGCTGAGTTCCAGTTCACTTTGGGGCCGTATCTTTGTCTGGCTGTGACGATGAGGCATTTGAACCTGCCCGCCATGCTTGAATGGGCACCTGGAGCCTAGAACTTCCCAACCTGGGCGCTCTGCTCGGGATCAGGGTCCCTTGTTGCGGTTCCTTCGTAGTGAGGACCCTAGAGCTCGCTACGAAGAGCTCTATGCTACTTGGAAGAGATCGGCTGCCAAATGCACCCAAGCCAGGTCATCAAACCCCAACATGCCTGCACATCAGCTATCTGTTTGCTGGTGGTCGTACTCGCCGGAGCGTTGAGCAGCAGACTCCTCAAGGTAGAGTTCCATGCAAATGTGTTCCTGTGGTGAGGGAAGCGGATTCTTAGATCAGCATCCGTTGCATGCCCTCAGAAGGCAAAATGAAAGCTTTCTGCTTCCCTGCTCTCACACATGTTTCAAGCATTGAGATCAAGCACTACGCTTTCTTTTGCCAGAGCGGAGAAAAGAGTTTTGCTTGCCGAGGGCCGTGTTCGGATAGGAACATGGTGCAAGCTGTTCAGAGGTGGCTGGCTCTTGTTCTCTGTTGCTGGAATCCAAGGCGACGGTTTTACAATATGGCACCTCGCGTGCAAATACAGAAATCTTCGTTTGTCCAAGATTCTCAGAGCGCACAATGCGACGTACGGCTTCTGTGTCGATTGCAAGAAGACACCGCTGGATTGCGCTGCCACAGACCGCGAAGTCATCATAGAGGATCGCTGCGTTGTAGGTCCGCTGGAGCCGAAACTTGAGGTCCATCGCTGTCTTGAGCTGTCACTATCACAAAGCCTTGGACCCTGTTGTTGCGATTCTGTTTCTGTTTGGAGGATGCCGATTCCGAGTTGGAAGACGGCTTGCTGACCGGGGCGAAAGTGGCAGGAGCGATCCGATGCGGCTTCGCAGCATGTGAAGCCTGGACTAACTAAGAGCCTGGCGAAGCCTTGTGAAGTTCGTGACTTCCGTAGAAGTTTGGCTGGGAGGAGTTGCCGACTCGAAAAGGCAAGAGCTCGCCAAACTTCTCCTCTTCCACGATTACGTCTGCAAAGCATCGAGGCGGGCCTTTCTGTGTGCGGCCGCACACGAATGGATCTTGCAGCAGTTTTGCACAGGCACCAAATGTCACCCAAGAAAATCGCTCGCAAGTACTTCTTGTACTTCGGCATTGAGCCGGCAGTCTTGGTTGCGATGCGGGATGTGGACGGGAAGGCCAGCTGCTGAAGAGACCGGCAAAGAAGAAGGTCCTGAACATTATGAACTTTGTAGTACTGTACTTGCGCCCATGCTACCAGTAGGCTTGAGAAGTAACGTCATCACTTCGGCCGTCATTTCGGCTTCTGTTTATCAGGGCCTGGAGTCTCACCCACTTCCCACGCACTCTTTGAGCACAAGCAGGTGCTGCTGCACTACGCAGCATATTTCGGCTTGTTTAAAGACGTCGAATGGCTCTTGGAGAAGGGAGCACAGGTGGATGTTTATGACCAGATGTCCATCCAAGACTTCCGCTTCACGATCATGGACCCTCCGAAGCAGGAGCTCTGGTCGCAGCTTCAGAAGGCCAGCTGGCGCACTGACACCATGCTGTGAGTTGGCGAAGTACTGCTTCTGCGACAGGCCTACGCCCTGACCGAGATCCCCTTCCCGGAGTTCTGCTGCCAGAAAGCCGAGCGCGAGCCTTTCAATGCGGTCCTGGCCTCGCCCACGGAAGATGTCTACTGGCTCAGACAGGAGCCGGCGACGCGCACCATGATGGCATAACATTGACGGACCCCGTTTCTGATGTCAGGAGGACATCCCAGAGTTTGCCACGCTGCGGGTCTGCTTCCAGCGACCCGAGCGCTTCGACGGCTTCCGCTGGCCAGCCAAGGGGGAGGACGGGATGCGTCACGACGAGTCTGGCGAGCCAGGAGAGGGTTGGAGCTGGCAGCTGTAGCTGTAGCAGTGCTCTAGAGCCCCAAAAGGCGAAGCTTGGTCCTTTGCAAAGACTTTTTGTCAGGAGCCGTGGATGTAAAGCTGTGCAAGTGGATGATGGAAGCTAGGGCCTGTGAAAGGCTGCACTACAGAGAGTCTTGGCAGAACTGCACAGGAGGATTGAGTAAATGATGCGATGAAAGCCGGAGCGAGGGTCGCTGCACGCAATACGATGCTCATGTCAGCGTCTGCAATGCGCTGCTGAGGTGGAGTGGCTGACTGTGAATTTTGGGCACCAGGGTGTGTCGTTGGACGTGGACGACTTCCAGAGCGGCAAGTATATCTCCATGCATGTGCACCGGACACCTTTGGACCATGCACTCCTGGGCGCAATGGACAATGCCGAGACAATGTACAACGTACGAGACACTGCAGATGAGAATACAGTTGGTATTTCTGACATCCGGCTGCCACCACACGCGCGTATTTGCAAGATGCCTGGACAAAAGTCGATGTTACAGAAGCAGCAGTTTCAAGTGTCTGGCTTTGGACATCTACACAACGAAAACCAAGGATCTTGATCGAACAGGCTCTCCTGTGTGAGAAGCAGGACTTCAGACATGGCACATCGTGTTGTGTAACACCGGCGTGTGCATCGTCGATAATTCGGATGCATGACGCATCTTTTCATCCATCTGCCGCCCTTGGTCGAGGAAGGCAGAACGCTGCTGGCGGAAACCTTCGCAAGCTTCTGCCGGCCATGCCATGTCGCAAGGAATCTCGGCTCGGGAGCACAGTTGGAGCATGATTTCCCCCCTCCTGAGGTGTCGGAGATGTGCCGCAATTCTGTTGCAGTGTTCATTGCATGCTTGTGTGCAAGCACCGAGGGGATTGTCGAAGTACATCGTGGACATTCTGGTCCAGGAGCCAGGCCCGTTGATCTCGTGGTGCTAGTAGCATCCGATACGCGAATCTTGAGCTTTAACACAGGGGCCTCTGCCGAGAAGACCACTTTGCTGCATGTCGCAGCCAAGCACGGCTGCTTGGAAGCTGTGAAGTTGTTTTTGCTTTGAGTCCGAAACATTTCGGGTAGAGTGATTCGTGCATCCCTGGAGCAGTGAGGCCTGCGAGATGTGTGCAACCAGCTGTTGAAGTATCGCTGCACTTTCAAGGATCTCCAAGCCCAAGCCGTTCGACAGCTTCGTTGTGTATTGCGAATTCTATGCATACTGCTGCGATAACCTGGCAAATTTGCATGAGCCCCTCCATTCTGCAGGAAGTTTCCATGCAAACTCCGCTGGATGTCGCAAGTGACGAAGGCTTGAACTTACTTGCCATGCTGTTTTTCGTTGTTGTTCCAGTACGTGAAGCACTGATGCAATATGCCAGGCACCTATCACCTTCTGATTCTTCCCGCTTTCGTCTCGATCTGTCAGAAGATCCACACGCGTGCCTTGCCGAACGAGGAGAAGCCGTCGGTGCTTTGCGATGAGTAAGATCAGAGGCTTCGCTCACCCCGGGCCCCATGTTACAGGGAAGTGCCAGGAGAGTGCCTAGGCCTAGATTCCTAGATCCCTAGATCTTACTTAAGCTTCACTCTGAGAGCTGGCTTTTTGCTGTGAAGGACGAGGAGGCCATTGCGGCCAGAGTGGAGCAGGTAGACCAGGAGGCGACTGCGTGGCTGACCAACATGGAATCTCGATCCCTTTCCTTGCAGAAGCGCCCAAGCACAAATCAGACAGTGTTTGAGTCTATGAAGACGTTTGGGTCATGCGCTACAAGGCCACGTCTGCGCACATCCCAGCATCTACATACCCTCCATTGCAGCTTAACAAGACCGCCAGTGACGACCAGCCAGATTTTGGCCCTTGCACCGCCAAACACTCCATGCCACCCAAAGTCATTGATTGATATGCGCATGCCGAGGATAGTTCGCATCTCCAATCCGCAGCAGGGCAAGTACACCATGGTGGACTATGCTGCTATGTACGGGATGAAGCGGGTCCTGGCCCATGTCATTGATGGACTATCAGACATCGAGGATGAGACCAAAATCACTTGCCCGGCTGAGATTATCGGGATCGAGCCCAGGGCAGCAATGGAATTATGCGAAATCCTGCTATGATATAGGGGCAAGATATTAACGGATGCTTGCGTAATTGAGGAAATGCCCAGATATGGCGAGAGAAATCAAGTCATCTACGACCTGCGGAGCTTGTTCACGGCAGCGGACGATCGTTGGACTTCCCTCAACCTGAAGCAAAAGTTGAAGGACATGAAGGAGGCTTTCAAAGGAAAGACCAGAGAGGAGAATTGTGATTCCACTGCTTGCTGACCGCTCGGGATGTACACCGGACAAACAACTAAAACACAGGGATTCTGTCGCATATCTGTGGGGTGCCCCTCAGCAGCCAGGGTCATGCTATCAATTACACCGAAGAGTGCACCGGATCCTGTATGAAAAGGCATTCGCTAAAGTTGATGACCTGGACGGAATGTCAGTGATCTGGCTTGGAACTGGGCTTGGGGACAGACTGTATATTTCGTTGGCGCATACACTGAAGAAGCCGGACACACTAGAGTTCCCCAAAGCTGCAAAACATGCTTGTTTGTCAAGGCTTGTGCCAAGAAGATCATGGTCATGATCCTCAACCCAAAGGCGTAAAGACGTCCCGAAGAAACCAGCAAAGGCAGCAGATCGCCCGCTCAGGGGATGTGCAAACGCAGCAGCCAGGTTCCATCCTACACTCTGGGTTTCAGATGTCAGGCTCAGGTTCTTATGCAATACCCGATGAATCGACACGCCAACACACACTGCGCGCGGTGCAGAACGTTTCAGTCCGTAGGTTCAGGATGCCTAGCGTGTTGACGTGTAAACCTCGCAGGAGTTGGTGGAAGCTTTGAAGAGGCTCTGCATTTTGAGCGAGTAAGCCGAGTAAGCCCCTCTCACAAGCGGCATTGGCCCAGGGAGCTCCGCGAGCACATCCACTACGTCGCCTCCCTGGACACCGAAGAGGCAACTGTGTTCAAGCAATGAGCATTTACTAGTGAACAGACGAGCTGCCCACAAAATGCCGCACTGGAAGCCTAAACCCTGCTGTGAGCATGTGTCGTGGGGTTGTGAAGCGTGCTTTGTTGAGAGTGCCGGCCCCAGGGACCCGGGTAGCTTGAAAGATCGAACGCTGTCATGCCCTCAAGAGCCTGAAGCCACAGTGCAGACCACTGTTTCTGTGACACACTGTCATTTTTCGCGACGTAGTGGAGGCTATTGAGTTTTTCGATGCGGCGCTGGAAGCGAAAGCAGAGTGGCGCAAAAAGAAGGACGCCACCACCGGCGACACAGCACTGCACATGGCTGCCCGCTCGGACAACATCGACATCGTCAAACTGCTGTGTGAGAAGTACAAGGCGCGAACATTTCCGGCCAAGATTCCAAAGCATATACCAGTATAATTCAGCATAGTATGAACACTGGTCCGGGTCTAATCATCAAGTTTCCTCAAGCTGTGCTGCGAGTCGAGGTGAACAAGGAAGATGCTTGGCTCAAACTATACGGCATGATGTTTATACTGGGGTAACGGGTAACGGAAGCGATTCTGTGACAGTCTTGCCGAAGTACCTCGTGAAAGGTGTGGTAAAGCAGCATGTCCTCTCAGCACTCTGTGTGGCAAGGACAAGAATATGAACCAGGAGCGGCCCATACACAGTGCTGCCAGGAATCATAGCTACAAGACGATGAAGTAGCTCTGCTGCAAAAGGGGCGCAGCTGCGCATCGTGACAGACTGGAAGGAGCATGGCCCATAAGGTACCTTCTGGAGGGAGGCGTGCAGCCGTTGCCACCAAACTTCAAGAAGGAGAGCATCGGCCCTGACTCATGCATCACCTTTCTACAGTCATCTCGCCGATTTCTCCAAAATGGGGGAGCTTGTAAGAGTGCCATGTGCATTCACGATTATTTTCGTGCAACAAGAGGAGCACCCCATGCACTTGCTGGCCAAGACTCTTTCGCTCAGGTCGCGCTGTCAGCTCTCACAGGTGGGTTTTGTGCGAATTTGCTGCCAGGTCTCCTGGTCAGAGAGCACCTGATCCAGAGAAGTTCCAGGAAGTGATGAGCATCCTCATGGCCAAGGTGGCCGAGTCCAACAGTTGGATGAATTTGACAAAGAGAGACGCAGATGGCAAGTCCGCCCTGGAGTATCTGGTCAGCTCGTGTGGCCACACGTATGCCGGCCCCGTGGTGGAGAAGCTCGTACATGTGCTCCCAGCGGCGGTCCTTGAGAGCAGCTGCTTCTTCGCGGCTCTGGACAACCCAACAGGGCCTTCCCGATTCCTCAAGGTGCTCCTGCTGCACAACCGTTTTCTCTCTCACTCTCTCGAAAGCGGTGCCCAGGCTCTGCTGAAAAACACCGCAGACAGGAAGATCCTGACGAAGCTGCTGGACCAAGACCCGGACACCTGGGGATGCATTGCCGTTTGACCTTGTCCTTGGTGCCCCGTTTGGCCTTAGGCAATCTTAGGCACGAAGCTTGTGAGAGCTTGTCACCAAAGAATAGCAGACTACTCATATCGCACCTGTGTCCATTCGCGCCTGAGCAGAGCCCGACATTCTAAACTACAGCGCTGTCCATATAACCGTATGTTACTGTTTCGGGAGGACAAGAATGGGCTCAACGTGGTGCAGATCTGTGCCTTGAAGGGCGATGTGGATTCCTTGAGGCACTTCGTGTCGTGTGCTGATGCATAGCCTTTTCCCCCCCCCCCCCCTCTTTGTTGCAGGGAGATTCTGAATGCGCTGGCAGCTCCAGATCTCCTGCGTCAAGCACTGATCCCAGAAGGCTTGGACGGGCACCGGTAGGAAGAAAGTGCGGGTCTCCACTTTGCCCTGAACTGCTCAAGGCGCTGCCTTGCAGCGTTCCTCAAATCCTAGTCCGAGTCAGACAACCCTCACCCGGAGTAATATTCGTCCGCAAGTTGCCCAACTGCCACTCAAGATCCTGGCTTCCAGGAGGTGTAAATGATTGACACCAGGCGATGCAACCATACACAACCATGACCATCGGGCCATTGCTCCGGCAAGTCCCTGTTTGCATTCCTAGTGCAGGGCATTCGCTGGATAGGTGTTCAACAAACTTTCAGTATTCTCCGTCCTCCACCTTGCAAAAGAAACATGTGCTGTAGAGACCAAAATAAGGAATGCTTCGCCTCGCCTGAGCACATTGGTCATGTGGGCCTAAGCTTGTTGAGGTATGCAAAAAGTGCCATACAACGTGACAATACCTGAATGTGTCATGCTGCGAGCACTCCCCACCCGAATGCCAGAAATCGAAGAGACGAAGCTGTGCCCTAGCTTGCAGTTTTCTCGAGATATTAGTCTTGCAGTAAGCTTGCGGTGCTCGGAAGTTGGGCGGCCGACTTGCTGGCTAGATCTGGCTAGTTATTGCACGCGTTTCTGCGCTCGCCGGTAAGGGCGGAGGAGTGTCTTCCTTTTGTCCTTTTTCTGCAGTCACGTTTGTTGTCCTTCGTGAGCATGTGGCGAAGGGGCTTCTAGAGGAATCAGCATGCAAGTTGCTCGCAGCGCCGAGGAATGCCAGCATGTGCGATCAGGCCTGCATCCGGGTATCGGCCATGCCTCACGTGACTCACGCCTCTGCCGTCCCTGTGTGCCAGCTCTACACCCCTGCTAGAGCTCAATCTTGCTCGTACTGGTAGCTCTCGAGCAGGACTCAGCCCACGAAGAGCGAGTTGTCACGAGTGCCAATGTCGGCCATGTAGGCACCAGGCATCTTTCGTCTGCAAATTTCATTCCGACAGACTCCGCCGCTCATCCTGGCGATTCGTCATGGGAAAGAAGATGTGGCAAAACGTCTTGCCTCCAGCCACTGGGAACACAATTGGCCTGTTCGGAAACACATGTAGTCGGCACATAGTCGGGACATGGCCGAAAGTGCAAGGAATGTTGGGCTTGGACGAGAACCATCGGGCCCGTGTGAAATGGGAAGATGAATGCCACAACAGCCAGCTCAAGAAAGATCTGATCAGAGCCTCGTCGCAAGCACTCGGTGCGCAAGTTTCGTGGCTTCTGCCGAAAGCTAAACACTTCAGGTATCTTCAACCAGGCCGGGCAAACCTTCTTCCAGTTGATCCGGTCCGGAGAGGCCTGGGCCATGTCCTCAAGCAACAGGTCGATGCAAAAAGGGCCGTGGTGTGCTTTCCTGACTGCATTCGATGCATGCGCCCGGTGCACCTGTCAGTCAAAAGGATTCCGGACAGTGCTGCCGTCTCGTGGTTGTAAACTTCTGAAAGCTAGAACTTGACGGTACTTCAAACCCTTGTTACTGCCGGAGCTTTGCTGTTCTATCTCACTCAGAGGTGGGAGCTGTTCGCAACCTGCTCATCGCTCAGCCCGCACTGGTGGAAAGCGCCTCCGATTCTGTGTGAAGATGCTAAAGAGCCTTTTTTCTTCTTTCACGTTCACTGCGAAGCCTTCAGCAACGTCCGGGGTTGGGGAGGCCCGGCCTCAGGTGCTGATGCTGCTGGCAACACTGCCCTTCACGTCGCGGTGCAGAAGTCCTTCAAACACCAGAAGGAGATAGTTCAGTCGGGGCCCAAGCCTGGTTCGTCACTCAGCCGTAGCTCTTTGCCAAGCTGAGGCTTCTGCTCAGTCACGGTGCAGCGCTGGGCGAAGGTGGGCAGAACCAAGAGACACCGTTGCACCTTCTGTGCCGACGATGCTTGGCTGATCCGACGGGTGCAGTGTGCCCGGTGAGGGTGAGCGGTTGTTGCCATGCCAACACCCGAGGTTCTGCTGCACAGATGTACCAAAGTGGCATGGACTGGCCACCGGAAAGGAAATGGGAGGAATGCAAAGGTTGGTCGCCTGCGAAGGACTTGCTGCAGCAAAGTAGGAAGCCTGCCTAAGCAGTCGTGACAGCCAAGCCCTCGCCTTGCAGAAGGATATGCTGCAAGATTCGGAGGATGGTGCCATGCCGCAAGCGTTTATTGCTTTTTCGATGCTGCAAGACTGTGTTCCAGAAAGCCGGCGTTGCGATAGCAAATTCACAAACTCCACAACATGGGTGCGGCAAGACTCGCAGTAGGAGCTTGGGTTTTCCTAGCACTCGGCGAGGGCAGATATCAAAAAATGTGCAAGACATCCGGTGGATTCTTCACGTTGTCATACTGCCTGAAGCTCGTGTATATCCCAGCTGCTGCTTCTGAAGTTGCTGCCTGATTTCAAGGTGCCAAAGATGAGCTCTTTACCCTGACCAAGATTACCGAGCTCATCTTACGCGAGGTGGTCTCTCGCTGTGGGGAGGACAACGCCCGAGCCGTGACGGATATCCTCTCCATCCAAGCTACGGGTGGAAACAAGACCCCGTTTGACCTGGTGTCGACTTGCTTGGACGCAGCCGCATTTCTCTCTGACCACCCTCTGCGCAAGTACTTGAAGCAGGCAGCAAATTTCAGGGCTATCCCTAGGGCCTAAGCGGTGCAATTCTGCGATGCTGCACGCTCAGGCATGGCTGAAGCCTTTGCTGGCGTTGACAGGCCTGTTCTTGACGCGTGCTTTGCTTGCCACATCTTTCAGAGAAGGCTACACGGGGCTTGCATCCGGGAATTTTACGGATTGTGAACGAAATTTCCCAGTCTTACTGAGTAAAGCTCAATTAGGGCATGCACCAGATTCACCGCCGACCCGGGGACAGCCTGAATGTACGAGAGATCAGCAATCGAACAGCAACAGCACAAGCAGTTCGACGCCGACCCGACAGAGCGGCAAGCAGCCTTGAGGCTCAGACTAAGGAGTGTCTGTCATTCAAATTTCTTAGGCCCGGGCAGGCCCTGTGGACGATGGAAGAGCGTGTTCATGCAGGGCTCATGTTGATGGCCACGGATCAGTGGGGCATGACACATTCGTTATAAGTTATTAGCATTAGCTGTTTCCTGACCTCAGAAACCATCTCGCTGCCCGGCACGCGGAAGTTGTCGCTTCTGGGCTTGGCAGTCCTCCTGCGTGCCAACGAGGCGCGTGCAATCTTGAATCGAGCGAGTCTGAGGCATTCGCACTCAGTCACCGCGCATGTGATTCACTTGCTGTGAGCCTGTAGGCCACGATCCGCTTGCAACATGATGATCCATTGGAGGGTCCAGCAGATGAGACACCTCTTACATATGCGCTGATGCTGCAGCAATTTGCACCTTCGTCTTGACTAAGTGCCCCAGAGCCGTTGTTGAAACCGAACATTGACGGGTCTATGACTACAATTCCCCAAAGTCGTACATCACCAACTCGAAGCAAACCCTGCATGTTCATTTTCAGCCGCTCGCATGCCGACTCGGCAGCTTGAATGTAAGGATTTGGTCCGCAAGATGCTAAGCAGGATCGAGGAACGGAGGCTCCATGATCGATTGGAGGAGGTCATGATGCAGCCGCATACAGAAGGACTTCTCTTCACACCGCAGGCTGCTCGTGAGATGCGTTTGCCATGACTTAGCACCAAATGCACATGTTTCCGTCGTCCGATGCTTTGCGACTTTGCAGTGGGGGCTGCATATGCAGCCCAGACAGTCGGAGTGCGCTTGGTACGAGAGAACTTGCAGGCCAACAGCGAGCAGATCCCGTCTCAAATCTTCGAAGTCTTGCCCTCTCAAAATGTGGTTCGGCTGCTGACGCGGAGTCCCGGCATTCTGACCAGGCAGGACTCAATCTGCTATGTTTGCATGCATCCCCGGCCAAGAACTAGATTCGCAGCAGTTTGCGGCGGAGCATCCATCAGGTGCCTGCAGACAGGAAACGACACCCTTCTGGAGAACATGCGCAGCAAGATATGCCGCTTGTGTGCATGTTTTTTTCGTTTGTCGGTGCCAGAAATGCATGCAGCCTTGGCACCCTGCGTGACACAGGAGCTCATGTGTTGCAATACAACGCTTGATAACTGCTTGCCGGTTGTTTAGACCTTCAACCCTCGAATTGTGGGCAATGTCTGCCCGATTCTCTACATACTAGTAACTAGTACGAGAAGAGAGGTACAATGACTTGTCAACTCTCAGCCCTGCATTGTTTCTTTGGCTGACTTCGTCGTGACCGCTACGCAGAACAACAGTGTTTTGATGTGATTTGCTAATGTCGTACTAGATTTACCATCGGCGGCCGGGTTGTCGTGGCCATCACCATCCTTGGCACCACCACTCACGGTTCGTGTAGGGTGACATGGGCATCTGCACCATCTGCACCAGCCCTTGATACTCTCCTTGTCACTGCTGGTCAAATTTCCTGAGCTCCTGAGTCTCGTACGATTAGACTTTTCGACATAAGCAGACAACAGCTGACAACAGCCTTGGCAGCGACGACATCACACTGCACTTAAACAGCTACACTCGCAGAACCTGCGCGGGCCTCGTGCATGACGTCCCAGTTATGTTAGTGATGGAGATGACGATGGTGATGCTGGCAATGATGATGCTGGCGCCGAAGTTCCGAGATGTTCCGAGTGTGACGGCATTGTTTTCATCACTCTCACTATCGCCATTATCAATCATTGTCTGTACATGTGTCATCACACTGGTCATTCCTGTCATGACAGTTGCAATTGGCAATGGTGAGGATGCTGTTGATTCGCATCCAACCAACTTTGCTGCCCATCATCCAGCTTGTGGTTTAGATATACAGCTTAGGTTTGAAACCTAGAATCGACACTGATCTAATCTGCAGAGCCCGTCAACTTGAATTGCGCGTCTGACTGCGGGGCAGTGCACGTGTGCACACAGTGACAAGTTAGAGCGTGTGAAAATCTTTGTGTTTGCTTCACCAGTTAGAGGAACAAACAAGAAGCAGCTGCTGAAACCGCTTGCAGCTCGAGTTTCCTGTTGCAGCAGCTTTTTGCTAGACGCCCGTGCTGCCATGGCAGAAGTCAGAAGCCCGGCGGCGCGTCAGCCCGGTGGTGGTGGCCGCCCTGAAAGTCTTGTGTGAGGCGTCTGAGGATGCCTTGTTGGATGCCCTGTCAGAGTTCTGCATCTCTCACAGAGCGAGACTGGCGGCGTTGACTGCCCAGTCAGTTACGGAAGGACTCGGCTCCTTTCGGCAGACTACAAAGCAGAGCACCTACGACGCCGAGCTGCTCGTTGTCGCGATCGTCGGCGACCTCGCGGATGAGATGGGGCCCCAGCACTTCCTGCCGAGATGGGAAGATGAGCCACCTGTTAGTGCAACGGGACAGTGACAGAACAAGCCACCCGGCCCCAACATGCCACAGACGATGACTACTTTGACTCTGTGGCAGTGGAAAGCTGCGATGATGACCAGTTCGATGGGTCAGCATGCGCAGCCGACACGGGCGGTGTTTTTGGGGTGGACACCCGGTAGTGCCGTCCCACCATGCTACCTTTGGTGGGAAGGTGGTGACTCAGAAAGCTATGCCACAGAAAGCACCACCGCCTCCGCCAGCGGAGGAGAAGGCGTCTTCCAGTTCGTCAAGAGGTGCGGCTGAGGGTGACCCGTCAACAAAGAGTGTGCAGCCTATGCCAGAGAAAGCAGTTCAGAAGTGCCTGCTGGAGGAGCCGCCTGTTAGCATGCCTAAGGCAGGTGCCCAGCATGTTCGGCCACCTCCTACAAGGAACCCTGGTTCGTCGCCAAGCCCGCAGAGAGCCGCAAATGAGTGGGGCCAGGCTCCCAGAGAGTGGCCGCTAAAGACTTAAATGAAGCCGTTGACTTGCAGCAGACTGGAGCACAAAGCAACCAACTGTTATTGTTCTTCTCACGACAGTTGGCGTGCTTGCTGGCACAGATCACTGATGGTGCCACGTGGGCGAACGAGGACACAGAATGGCATTGTTGAGATTTGGCAACATGGCGCAGACAGTTTGCAGTGCCTGAACGAGCGAGAACCACGAGTCTCCTGAATGAGGTCCCTTCGTTCAAGCTGAGAAGTGATCAACTGGTGAGTGAAGTGAGCGTTTGCATCATCTTGAAGAGTCGTTATAATCATAAGGCGACGGGCAGGCCGTTGGACAATGACCTCCTGAACACTGTTTATGCAGAAAGCGACTCAAATGCAGCGCTTGCTGTTTAAATGTTTGTAACACCAACACATTCAGTGAAGTCATGGCGATTGTGTCTAGTTATCTTAATAGCAGACATCTGCCTGTGCCAAGCATGAGGAGTGATGGTGGTCCAGCAGACATGGACACTGGAGCATTGAAAGGGAAGAAAGGAAGGAAGGTATGTGCCAAGGAAATGGCACAGGCAAAGGAATGATGGGTCCGGTGACTGGTCTTGGTTCGATAACAACTGGAATCATTGGAACGAAAGACAAGACTTTTGGACCGTAGGGGCCCGAGACTGTCTTGCCTTGGTTGACAGACTGGAAACCCTCTTCCGATTGTGCGACAGGGTACATTGGTGTACCTTACACCAACTGTCATTCCATATGCCGCACGCAGCAACAGCTTGGTGCATTGGGTGAGGGCTTGCTGTGCATGTCGGATTTGCATGACAGCTCGTATGACTACCTTCAGCAGATTGCAGACCGGATTGCTGCGGCACGGGATAAAGAATGCTCATGGTTACGCGTATGACGCGTGGGAAGTGAATGAGCCACAGCTGAAATTAATCCGGCAAGTCCAAACAGAGAAAGGAAACGTTCGATCCTCGAATCGAAGCTTCCAAGACTTTGCCAGCACAAATGTCCCGATCGACTGGCGGAAGCGTGACGTACTTTGGCGTACGAAATGTACGATGGGGGATTGACTCTCGCTATCAAAGATAGGAATCTCTTGACTTGGGCAAACACCCGGACCAGTGACCCGAAAGGGTGGAAAGGCCGAGTGGAGTTTAAAACGTGCCACACGCCGCAGTTGAGGCATGTGAAGAAGATTGAGCCCAGACATTGCCTTTCGCAGATTGGCAAGCTTGAGCCTAAAACAACGCTGCGCGCGGCAAACCAACTGGTTGACCTTCCTGTTTAAGACCTTTGACAGCCGCTTATGTCCGACTTTCCGAAACCATGAACCTGTCTGGCGCTACTCCAGCTATCGGCGGTCTTCGCTGGTCTAATTTGCGTGTTTGTTTCGTGCCTGCGCGAATGTTGCAGGTGCCCGCCCACTGCAAGTGACCGTGCCATCTCGGATTACTGTCAAAACTGCAGACTTGAGGCACCGAAGCAATGCGCAACCCGCATTGGCCCGAGTGGCGCTTTGGCAGCGAGGCACTGGGCGGGGCGACATTCGTAGCACCGCGCTCAAAATTTCCGTCAAGAGAGCAGAAAGCCCTGACCTGGCCACGAGCCCTCTGAGCTGTTAGCCCTGGAGCTGTCTTGGCTGGGAAACTTCGGGCTCTTGCGATTCCTGCAGTGGGTAGTGTCTGAGTCCCTGAGGAGTGGGGCGTTCTGCACATTTTGGCAGCACTGGGCATGCCGGACATGATTCGCGAGCTCCTCCTTGAGCTGCCACCAGATTCACAGCAAGCCTACGTCAACGCCAAGGACAAGTTGCATCGTAGGAAAAAAAGGGAGAGAGACTTCGCCTGAGGTCGAAGTTTCATGAGCAGGTTTATGCTGTTTTTGCGTGCCACGCGAGGATAAGAACAAGAACACTCCGCTGCACCATGTCCTGTATTTTGTGGGCTGCATTGTTGTCAGCGGGAGCAGTGAGCCGGCATTCCATGGCTGTTACTTCCCCAAGAACGTCGACGGCCGCTTGAGCTACTGCATGCAAGGCAGGGATGGCACCTGCGACCACTTCATTCGTCTCGCCAGCGACAACGAAGAACTACAGTGGCGGTTCGAAGACAACTCGGACAACTGGTTTTGGCCATTCATCACCAAGGGAAAACAGAGCCCTGATGAGGTGCCAACAGACAAGTCCTGGAAGGAATGTGAATCTTCAGGGGATCTACCTACTCTAATCTACAAGGATGTGGAAGACAGGATGCACGTCAACGTCGTACGAGAGCTGCTGCAGTTCAAAGCAGACATTCTGCAGCAGAACACCCGGAAAAGGACACCGCTGCTGTCGCCTCAGTTGGTAATCTGGCAGCACCGCCGAACTGGAAACGTACTACAGCTTAAACCGCGTTGCAAGGCACGTCTGTCTTCACCGCCGAGTCTCGAGGGCATCCCGGGACAAGTTGCCGAAGCTGGCCCTGAATCTCGGCATTCGGGGCAACAGGAGCAGAGTCGTTTCTTTGCAGGCAAAGGTTGGCATGTGGGTGCAAGTGGATCCTTTGAGGAATCTACTTGGCATCCATGACGGCCTGATGCTGCCCGGCGAGATTTTTCAAGATGTCTTTTCGGGTGCACAGCACACGGGGCATACGTCCTTCCGGGACAGCGTGAACAAGGACGGAAGGTAGCATGCAACTCACGCTAGCACAAGGTTCCCCGCTAGGTCAAGCGCGCACGAAGGGGCCGGGCTAAGTGGAAGAGGGGGGCCAGGGGGCCGGACTGGACTGAGGCCTTCCATGCCGCGGTTGCAAACGCTTTTGGCAGAGCTGAGGGTGGCTTGGTTTTAAAGTGGAGTGAGTGGAGCGACATGGAGCGTTGCTTGCGGCCCCGCACATCCCGGCAGCAGACCAGGAGGCAGATGGCTTGAACGTCCTGGAGTTATCAGTCGCAAACATTTGGGGCGATGACGTCTCTCGAAGATAAGTCTTTCTGACATCACCATTTCGTACGCAATGCAGCAAGGGCCCAGGCCCCAACAGTCCAAGCACAGTCACAGCAGCCCAGGTTTGGAAGCATTGGCTTCCGACTTTTTTGGCGGCGGGCTCAACTAGCTTGGTACTGGTAGGATGTTCAAAACGATGCCAACCAATGCAGCTGATGTCCATGGAACCTCAGGCCTTGCCGGGGCTGCTGGTCTCGCACGAAGCCTTCAGCGCTTTGGCAGCATGCAGAGATGATTGGGTTTGTTTGAGCGTTCGGAGCAGCTACTGACAGGGTGCCTCTTGAAGCTGCAAGAACAATGCGAAGCAAGAGTAGCGAACTTCTTGCTTGTGCTGGGGTGGTACTTGTTCTTGTGAAGCTCTCGTCGAGAAGTTTGGGCCAGACTAGACCGCCCTCGCTTTGGGTCTTGTCCGTAAGTCCTCTTGAGGACCAGAAGGCTGGCTGTTTGCCGGCCCTTTCTTGGGGTGCCGGGTTTGGTGCAAGCAGTTCATCTACCGAAGCCAAAAGATATCGGTCAGCATCGCTGTTGGATCCTGCTCCGTCGCTCTATTTCGATGTGGATGTCCGCTGGCAAGGTGGGCCCCTCTCCTCCGTGCAGGACTTCGCAAGCTTCCATTCGACCCGATGCTTGGGATTGCCAAGCGTCGACAAGTTGCCAGGACGACGTTCGATTGCCTCGGGTGAGGCGGCCCCAGTCTGTTCCGCGACTGGTGGCGCGACTTGCCGACGATGAGTGCCTTGGCCGGATCAGAGTGGGCCCGCGTGGGTTCCAACATGTTCCAACTGTCCAATGGGCTACGCTTTAAGGAGCTTGCCGCGCGACGTGGAAATCAGCATGGCCGAGATGGGGCTCGGAAGCTGTCTATTGTCCTGCACCTTGGCTGCCGCAGTTCTTCCGCAGACTCCGCGGACTCCTTTGCGCATGGTCAGGCCTGGCGCACCAGCGCAAGACCTTACTTCGCTCCCTTCAGAAGCCTCGCGAAAGCGGCTCGATCTTCCTGGTTCCCGAGCCGTCTTTGGAATCTTCGCCTTTGCTTTCCTTGAAGATGCCAAACGATGGCCGATTGGAGGTGGATTTCATCGAAGTGTCAGCGAGTGAGGCCAACACGCGAGGGAACAGCATCAACGTGCTTGTCGGCTTGTACGCTCTCGGTGAACCAACCTTGAAGCTGAATGGCGTGCTTGGCTCCTACCTGAAGCCTCCCTACCGGAAGCAGCTCATCACTCCTCACTACTGGGATTTCGGGAGACTGACTCGTAGGGAAGAGAGCTAGCAAGACTCAAGCATTTGTCTGCATAGTCATCAGAAGCACGTGGGCACAGCAAGGCTCTGATGTGACCCTGAAGGAGCTGGGACCAGAGTTCTTGGATTCGATCCGTGGGCTTGCCAAGTGGATCCAGGCAGTCAGGAAAGTACTACTACGAAATCTTTCTGAAGGAAGATCCTGACGAAACGCTCTTTGTTGGTGTTGCACTGGGAAGCTATTCACCGCGGCATGATGATGACACAATTGACCGAAACGAGGGTGTATGGCTCGTGAACGGAAGTAAAGTTTGGTTTGCCAATGCTGAAGAAAAGAAAGACCAGTGGCAGACTCAGTGGCGAGCCGGGCAAGTTCTGTGCGTCTCAGATGCTTGGCTCCTAGAGTATGTTTTCGATCGGGGACAGCTGCCTCAGTAGGGCCTGGCTTAAGGCTTCAGCTGCAGAGGCAGAAGCGAGTGTTTTCTTCTTGTGGCAGAATCGTCTGAGGTGGATATCGATGCAAAGTCTATGCGCATTGCCATCGATGGCAGTGTGGAAGCTCAAGCTTACAGGTTTGACCCCAAAGGCAAGGCAATCTACCCAATCGTCGTCGCACAGACAGCTTTCAGAAGCTTGGCTTAGACCCTCAGACTTTGCGACATTACGCTGGACTGATGAGTACTGATGAAGTCTTTAGTGCCCAGCTTGCCTCAGGGTTCGCGATTCGCAAGCGCGACCTCAGTTTCGACGAATTGTTTCCAGACTACGAGCCTTGGCTCCCTGCGGATCAAATCCTCAACCCGCAGCGAGGCTGCGCATTGGTCGCCGGGGTGAAGTGACGTGGAGGGAAACCTGTGAGTCATGTCGCGTGGTCATACTGAGGGACCAGAAGCGGGTTGTGCGCTTCAGCAACGTTCCTGCGGATGCGGAGAGCAGCGCTGACTTGGAGCTCAAGCTCAGCACCAGTCTTCTGACCTCCAGATAGTCGATTTGCCTTGCCCTTGTATGTCTGTGAGGGCCATCCCGGCATGCATGTGCTTCCGGTTCGGGGAACTGACCGCCTCAATTTCGCGCCGAGTCGGGTTTCTCTTAAGGCGTGGACTCCGGCACCTTCTTTGCCAGCACAATGCTCGCGACGGCCTTTCGATGCTTGCCGGAAGCCCTGAGGCCCTATAAGTCCGAAGTATCCCTTCCGAGCGCTGAGCAAAGTCGATGGGCAGTTTTGACACCAAGGCCTGGGCTGCTCATGGGACATTGTGGAGATCCTTCAGCAGCAGGGCTGCCGTCCAACTCTCTCCTCTTTGCTGGCAGCATTTCGCTATGCAAACGCAGGGACTAAGGCGGGATGGGCTTAGTAACTCTGGGACCAGAAGCTTTTCCAAGATTCAGGACAGGTCTGTCAAATCAGGATGTTAGGCACAGCACTGCGACGCTTCATTCGGGGTCGGGTTGGATACGACAGGCTCATGCAGGGAGTCTGTGATGTCAAGGCGCAGTCGATGGGATGCTGTGAACACGCCCTGGAGGACATGGAAGAACTGGTTCTGCATTGGTAGAACGGTAGAACCCACCACTCATCTCTGGACGTGCACCTTCTTCATCTCACAACACTACAAGACACAGCCTCCTGTTCGTCGGAAAATCGTTGTGTTGATTCAGAGCCGGCCCGCTTAGAAGCCGGAGCGATCTCTGAGCAGGGCCTGCTCTTGCACAGCGACCTCGCGCAGCAGCCGCAATATGCAAAGCTCCTTCGCCAGACTGGGACTGGCCGGGAGGACCGGGAAGAGATGCGGAGCTTGGTGAAGAGGACCGTGACTCTAATCAGGACTTGCAGCCCTGGGTCTTCGGCTCCTTCTTGAGATACTTGCAGAACAGTGGGCCTCTTAGACCTCGAGTCTTGACAGAGTCTCAGAGTTTGGGACCGCTGTGCAGCCAAGATGAGCTGACCAGCGAAGACATCGCCATCGTGTGCCAAAGGCCGACAGAATCCGACAGACCGTTGGCAGATTCGCAGATCTCCCTTTCATCCCAGGTTTGCAGACTGTGGAGCTCCGATCCAAGCGATGTACGGGGACTACATTCACGCAAGAGATGTCGCCTGCCAGTTTGCCTAAAGGTCGAGGTTTTAGGGCCTTTTAGGGTTTGTTTACATTGAGTCGATCAATTGCCTCCACGTAGTAGTGCTGCCATGCACTCGAAGGTCAATGTCCGTGCAAAGGGCATGGTGCATCGGCTGGATGGGTGCTACGTGCGGCAAGACAACTCCGTCGGCTCCGGAGAAAGGCAATCCGACGTCTGAATCTGGCTTCTCCTACTTGTAAAACACCGGCCGCTGGCTCACAGAGTGTACTCTTCGGCCATGTCTTGAGTGCCGACTGTGCAGGCAAATCTTCAGGAATCTGTGTCACACGGACCAGTGGATGATGTACGACCCGTTCGAAAACCTTTGGAAAGTTGGCCTGACTCAGAAGACAGTAGAGGGTGGCTGGCCTGCGGAGTGGCACGCGGAAACGCCGAACCTGGAAGATGGGAAGCTGAAGGTGGTCGCTCGGCTTGGAGATTTCTCTGGCCAATTCGGTATGAGAGCCTTGGGCAGGTGCCTGTCCTCAGAACAGGTCTGCCTCAGACTGAGATTCAGACTTGACATGTTCAGGTTGTCGATGGTAAAGACGTGGAGGATCAGAAAGACCCGGATGCGCCTCCTGAGAGGGACCTCTCGAACTCGAACTCCAAATCACAAAGGCCGCAGATGCAAGAGTTCTTGCTGGCAGGACATGTTCAAATATGTCTTGCTGCATGGCCGCATCTCCAGGTTGACGAAAACCTCGCGAAAATCAGATGAGTCTGCGTCTGCGCTAAGATACTTTCAAGGGAGCTGCTAAGCTGCATGAAGCGGGTGGAAGCAGAGCGGCGCAGCATGTGCACCTGCGACCGGACTTGGACCCAGAAAATTTGGTGGACTGCTTCACCGACTTGGCCGACCTGCTTAACATCTCGGAGCCTCACCGGAACATATTCCGAAGCGAGCTGCAGAAGCAAGGAGGCGTGCTGCATGTCGTTCGGATAGCCAGCTTACACCGTCTTACCCCCCAAACTGTGAAACAACACTAGTCAACACATGAAAAGAGGGCGATCCGTCGCAAGAGCATACGGGACTCTGGCGGGAAAACGAGGCTCGCTCGGAAACAATGCGTGGACTGTGCCGGTAGCACCTTTATTTGCAGGCGAAACACGGCTCGCTGTCAAGGTATGCACGGTGCCATGGGGCGGCGCCGCAAAAAAAAGCTTTCACGTGCAGTCCAGCAAAGCCGAACTACATTGTAATTTCGGAAGCCCTGCTTCCTAAGACAAATTCAGACCGCGAAGGCTAAGGCCGGGCAAACTAGTTGCCCCAGATTATGCACAGCAATGTCCTCCCGGCACAAGATCTGGGGAGGCGGACACTACAGGACCTCTCAAGTCAAAAGTATTGCATTTACAAAGAGTTCGCCTCCGTGGCAGACAGGCAGGGCCACAGCGGGACTGTGGCAAGAACAGGACTTCAGTCGGACATGTGCACTGCGCCACAGCGGAAGTTGCCGGACTGCGGTGCGCCTTGGGATCGCGGTCATAGCACAGCGTCTAGGGAAGTTGGAAACATCTTTGTCTCAACAGGCAGTTTACAAGACCGTGATGGTGCGGCGCTTACTCTGCACAGCGCCATCGAGACGGCTGTGAAGGAAGTCGGAGAGGCCTGGAACCGCCTCGCAAAATGAGCTAGCAGCCAGAGTGCAGCCATGCGAGGGGGTATGCTGCGTGTAGGAGACGAGCCAGCAGCTGCTGCAGCTGCGGGATGCCACCGGCATGCGAGACTTAGCAGAGCTGTCTCTCGGGCTGGTGCGGATGTGAAGCGCAGAGACTCAGTGAAGCAAGTGCTTACAAGGCCAAAGCTATCAGTCGTTTTCTTTGACTCCTCAGCATTCCGCGCAGCATGTTAGTGCCACTGTTGGCTCTACCCGACAACAGTTCAGCATTCCCTGAACATCGCGCCTGGTGCCTCAAGGATGCCTCGGCGAGATGGATGCTGATAGCGTGCTGCAAGGAAGTGATCCTTAAGCTTCTGTGCATATTTATTTCCAGACCAGAAGCATCCCTTAGGTTTCATAGTCACAAGATGGTACAACCTCAGAATTGGCATGGGTACTGGAATTGGTTGCTTCAACGCCTAATGGGATCTTCTGAAGCATAAGAAATTAATGTCCATAGTCTGCACTCTTTAGAAGATGTGCATATCGCTGCGGAGATATTGCAGAATGCAAATCCTCCCAGAAAACGTCGAAACTCGGCAGCTGTTAATCCAGCAGCGCCGCTCGTAAACCTTGAGGCAACAACTTCGAGGTCGGACTCTTGGTTCCATGGGTTGACCTGTACAGTACCCACCATTCTGGCCCCCGTCGTCAGCAGGTCGAACTTGACTTGGGGAGCCACGAAATGATTTAACGGAATCGCCAGATGCTGTCAAGCCGCGGCTAACAAGATGTTGGCAGCTGCCTGCATGCGCTGGTGACAAGCGAGCCTTCAAAGAAACGACCGCAAAGCAAGCTTTGCAGGTTTTCGCGGTGGCAGGGATGCGTTCTCTGGGAGACCGAGGCTGACAGTTCCTGAACTCATCTTTGGCCTTTGCCGGCGAAAGCCAGGAGCGATCCACTTCGTCCGAACCAGGCTTCCTGAATATAATACAGCATGGAAATCAGACATTGCAACAGCTGCGCGAGTTCCACGAATCAAAACATCCCGAAATCATCAAACCAGCCATAAACCTTCAACAAGTCCGCTCGAGTAAGGCCTGGCCATGCCGGCCCGTTCTGGGTCTGCAGCACATCGGACGGCTTGTAACTGCCGGCTCTTGGACAGCGCGCGTGGACACAAAGACAAGCAAAAGCAGATAGACACTTTTGTGGGTATCTGTAAACGTAATTTAAATTCATATTGTATACAAACATAATATAATGAATTTTGCACATATGCGTATGTATGTAGCGTGTACATCGTATGTATGTATGTAGGTAGGTAGGTAGGTAGGTAGGTAGGTAGCTAGGTATGCAAGCGTGCATGCATGGATGTATGCCTGTACGTCTGTATGTAGGGCGGTGGGTATGTAGGTCTGTGTGCATGTGGGTGTGTACATGTACATGTACTTAGACATATGTATATATGTATGCTGGTGTGTATTTGCATGTGTGTAAGTAGGGAACTATCGGTCATGACAGTTTAAACAACACTTGCGCTGTAGAGCCATGGCTGGTCGAAAGGTGTGAAGCTCAGATGATGAAGTGAATGTCGGGGAACAGGCCGCTTGCGTGTTGCACCGTGCCAGTAGGTGTTGTTGTCGCAGCAGTCATTACGTGCTCGAGGTCGATATCCTCGGCCGGCGGCTGACACTGCTTGTGTTGCTCCCAACCTTGCTGTGCGTCCGAGACCCAACTCGTGCCGTGCCCTGCTCATGGCACTGATCACTTTTGCTTCCCGCCCTGCTTTCGATATTGTGTTCAACTCGGAACTGCTGCGAGGCTTCACCAGACCATGTGGGGGAGCCATGTCTTCAGGCCGCAGTTGAAGCGTGTAAACCATGCAGTTGCACGCCGTAAAGTTTCAAAGGGCTGCGTGGATTCTGCATGGGTTTCGTTGCGGACATGCTGTGTTCGACACAGGCGATGTAATGTCCTAAGGTCCTAAGGTTCCGGGTCCAAGACTGAAATATGTCAAGTGCCTCCGGTTCATCATGACATGGACACGATTTCAAAATAAATTGAATTCGTATTGCACCTTTCCTAATTTCAGCCATATGTGTAAACAGGACGTCGCGCTTGAGCTTGTGTTGGACTAGATGGTTGTAACAAGGTTGTATCGAATATCCTCCACATCCGCCATGCGGAGACCTTTTCGTTGAAAACGCCAAATTCAGTCTGCGGGCCGGCTAGCTTCTCCTTACTGTGTAATTACGTCGGGTTGAATGTTATCCGTGGCCGTGATTTGAACCCTCAGCCCTCAGCACCTGTTCTGAACAGTTACCTGTTGTGAGCTTGTTGTGGGAATCCTGACGAAAGTGCGAAAGTACTCGCCGCCTCCTCTGGGCTCGTTGTGTTCTGCACATCACGCTGCGTTCGAGGGGTTGAGGGGTGGGTCGGGTCAGCTTCCAGTGGTGGGTTGAGGGGAGGGGATGGTTTCTGGAGGGCCAGGAGGGAACCTCTGACCGCTTGGGCTGGGGCCGAGGCGATTTTGAACGATTTCACCGCAACCATAATCACGAGTCCCGAGCTGCGATCGCTATGCACTCAGGCTTGCCCCGAACACATGACTGGTGAGAACCTCGAAGCCAGGACTTCGCGATGAGTCGATGAGCCATGCAATGTTGCGTTTACTTAGGGGAACATGCCGAAGTCACGACTTCGACGTGATTTTCACGTTTGCCTGTAGTGTTGTCGCCGAAAAATGGTCAGATGGCCTCTGGTCTAGAGATTCGGTCGACGTGGTCCCGCTGTTAGGCCTGGTATTACTTGGAAGTATCTCAAGCCGACTTAAGCCGTGTTTGTTTCTTGTGTAGTCCGGTTTGCTCACGCATCTTTGTCAGCTGGACCTTACAGCGGTGTTGTGTTCGAGAAATGATGTTAATTAATGCGACCGCTTGGCCGTGTCATACAGTTTCGCGACATGAACAAGAACTAGGAGGGTCAGAATTCTGTCATGGCAGGCATGTGGAAACTTCACGGGCTGGTGTGCCTGGTGTGGTGCGGGAAAAGTGCCCAGCCCAGCCGAGCGACGACCGTAAGTCCCGTGGCATCCCGCAGATGAATACGGAAAGCACGAAATAAGGCCTGCTGCAGACCAGGCTTCGGCCCAGAGGAGAGCTCAGAGAGTGTCCAAGAAGTGAAAGCTCGCTGGAGCTGTGAGGAGTGCTCAACCGCGCCACCTAGTGCTGGTTCCGAGAGTCACCACTGCATCGTGCCGTCCAAGCAGGCAGGCCATCTCCCACAAGAGACTGGACAGGGCCACCGGGACCCGTTCAAAGATGAATCAGCCAGAAGTAGAAGAGATGGCGTGCGTTGTTGTGCGCTCCGTCCTGTCAATGGAAGAGGGTTCAAATCAGGAATCGAAGAAGCTTTGGAGCAGTGAAGCGAAGTCGAAAGGTCAACTTGATCAATAATCAATAATACCCATGAGCTGCATCAGTATTAGCTGTAAGCTGCTTTTTGCACCAGGCCCTCGAATCCCTTGCAGTCGTCTCGATCTGAGTTGCCTTCATCCAGCCTCAGAAAAGTCTCTGGCAGTGTGGCTGCCGACGGGTGCGGAAGATTGTGGAAGGTCTGCAGAAAGGCTTTGCTGTACAGAAGGTGAGACCGATAAGAAGTGTCACGTCGGATATGAAGCGGCACAATGTTGAGCAGCGTAGTAGCTTCCATAAAGGGGGCTGTACCAGCAGACTCGAAGAGCTAATCAATCCTGCACTATGCCTCACGGCACTGTCGCGTGATCGATGATTTAAGCTTGGAGCTTGCAGCCGCAGAGGTCTCTTTCACTTTTGATCTACAAGGACTCTTCTATGCTGCCGTGCAAGCGCACTTCCTGCAAGTTTGCATGCTCGGGTTCTACGCTCCCAATGCTCCTGGAGTCTACATGCCCTCATTCATTACTTGCCAGGAAAGACTCTCTGAAGCAGGACCTGATCCTGCGGAGCAAGGCACTATCTGGCAAAGCACAGGGTGTTCTTTGAGAGGGTCACGCACGGGACGATTCGATCCAGCCAAACTCCTGAAGGAACTCATCACTCTCTACTAAGATCTCGTATCCCTTCCTAAACCTTCAAAGAATGCAGGCACATGCATGCATGGCTTCTGTTGTCCCGTTCTCGTCCCGAACCTGCACAGGAGATCGCCAACAGGATCATGTTGAATACTTCACAGCCGCATCAGATGGCGATGGCTTTCAGCAGAGGCCTTCCTGGCGGGTCCAGGTAGAGGTCACAACTTCTAGACTTGCTGGTTCGCGAGGTTCAAGAGGCTTTGCGCGGGTGCAGATGACCATAATGGAGCCTTGGCTGACTTGCACCAAGACCTTCACCTCCCATTATCGCCCCACGCTTGCTTGAGACATACAAGCAGCCGATGGTCATGTCACGATCATGCAGCGGGCATGAAACTCTTGAGCGCCAGATTCCTCATGGCGGTGAAGCCGTCGTGTCCTTCGCAGAGAACAGGCTGCTGCGGCTCAAGAGTTTGAAGTGCTGGGATGCATAGGCCCAGTGAGTGGGGTGTATCCAAGGCTGTGCAGCATGCCGTCCGTAGCCAAATTCAATGCAGATGTGAGGAGCTTAGGCTGTGCCGAGGCATCGCGTGTGCTGTGTCCCACATCCACATGCTCAAGAGGCTCAAAACCTCGATGGCGTTAAATTTGGCGAGGAAGGTGGCACCGTGGAAATCATGCCACTTGCCTTCGTCACGGATCGGCGGAACGACTCAAAGTTTGTCGCTCATATAACCTCTCGAAGTTCCAAGGATCACGAATCGCAAAATAACTGACGGCAAGGACTGTCCGACTGTCAGATCCCAAGTGACCCGAGGTTTTAGAGGAGACCATGTCAAACCCACGACCCAGGATCCTGCCTCTATGTCTTTGCGGCGGCGGCACATGCAGGGACAGGCACAGGCAGGGCGCCTGCAACTTGACCCAGCCACAAGCCGGGTACTTCCTCCTGTCAGGTGTGGCTGCCGTGGCTGGCGACTGGCCTCTTTGGAGGTAAGCCGGGGCTGTACACCATACATCTTTGCGAGTAGGGAGCTGCGCCTCAACTATTTGATGGTGCTTGGAGCACTTGAAGTCGCTTCCCTCTCGCACCGCGACCAAGAATTACAGCTGAGCAGCTGGCGGTTTTGCCGCCACGCCGACCTGTCCCGCCAAATCGGGTGCTACAGTCCTTCGCGACACTTGACAAGGCAGTTTCACATCTGTCCGGTGGGGCGTCATGAATCTCCGTTCTTGGTGCTTCCTCCACTACATGGGCGAGGTGTCGTGGCGCATGCCGCGGCAGAGACCCAAACTGCAATTTCCTTCAGCCCTGGGCAAGTCGTGGCCGCGGTATCAGCAATGACAATGCAGCACCCGTGGTCGCAGCGTCAGACGGCGATGGATTCTGTTTCGCCCAAGAGCATATCATTGGCTCCTATGGGCTCTGGAGCGGCAAGTGTCTTCCTTTCGTGATCCACACAGTACGGATGCAACATCCACGCTAGTTCCGGCTGCAGTTGAGACTGAACCGATCGTGCTGTCAATCTTGTAGCACGAAATCATACAGAGCACAAGAACAACACTCCACGAAGGTCTGGTAGAACGTATTGGACAAGCTATTCCGGCACCTTGATAAGTCTTGATAGTCGTTGGAGCCAGAAGTCTGGTCTTAGTTGTTTAAGACTTACCAGATGTAGGCCACGTCTTTCAAAGGGTAACAGACAAACCAAGCGAAGAAGCCAATCATATTAACATAAAAGCAAAAGCTGCTTTTGGACCTGTGCCAGAGCATGCTCTGCCCTTTTGCGTAGGCGGTGCTGGTCTTGCGACATGCGACGCAACCGCAAGCACACCTGAGCGGTTAAGCCCATTTCTCCATCGTTCGAGCGCAGCCAAAGATTCTCGGATGTTTCCGGCGGTAACGCGCAGCAGCTTTTCTCCCCCGCAATGCCGCTGCCAGGATCATGCCTGACATGTGCGCTGTTGAGTGCAGGCCTTATAGGCTAGACTCGGCTTCAGAGTCTGAGCTAGCCTCTCGAGCAGGCATGGTGCAGATTGCTTGGCCGAGGCCTCTGCAATGATCACTGCAAGCAGAAGCCCGTGCGCGTGCGGGGCTCGGGATTCTGCGATTCGGCTGTTCTGCCGCGGTTTCGCCCGCCCGGACGCGCCCCTGACCTTGCGCCTTGTGCAGGGCAGCGCTCGCCGACACCCAGCCGAAGGCGCTGAGAAATGCGAAAGTGCAGACCCCTTGGAGAATGTGGACTGTAAGAGGCACTCCTCTGGTATGACAACTGCAGACCCGAAACCCAAAGTCCTATGTAATGACGAATTGAGCCTCCTGGTTGGACATTGAAACTGTCGGTTAGCTGGCCTTCAAGTCTTGCGGCGTCCTGAACTTCACGAACATGTTGTGGGATCTGATTCGTCGAGTAGTGAATCTGAGCTCTTGTTTCTCTTCCTGTCATCGTTGCTTTCGATTTCATGTTTTGTATCAGAAGTCTTTGTGATTGAGTCGGTTGTGATCTTAGCGGATCCAGCGGCACAGCATTTTGAGACGAGGATAATGGATACACGCTGAGACAAAATTCATTGGCAGCTAGCCCCTGTGCCCCTGTGCGAGACGAACTCTAGTGAGGCCAAGACCGCTATGCGTTTCCAAGAGTCTGTAATGCGGAGATCCACCAGTGACTCCAAAGAGTCGCTCGTGCGGCGTGAGGTGTCGCATGAGGCCTCAAGCAAGCCTCAAGGGTTTCGATGTCGGACGATCTCTGAGCTGCCAGGCAAAGCGCAAGTGCCTCGGCTGCACACATGTTTGGTCTGTCTGTCACTTACAGCCGAGGGTGTTGCTCTCTAGAATCTGTTGCCGGGCAAGTATCGCATCCACATTTCGTAGGATTTCCGGGCGCGGGCGACGGGAAGCAAGCCTGTGATGTTGTAAAGCCCGAATTGTTGGCCACACCAGCTGTGTGCAGACTACATCTTTTCGAGTGCATCTAGATAAAGGCCAGCGAAGCGCTCGGACCACTGCTTCATGGCAGGTCTCTTGGAAGGATTCGTTTCAGGAGGAGGTGTGGCTGTGTAGCCCACACGAATTTGTGCGACTGGAGACTTTCGTCATGTTGGGCTGTGGTGTTCTTCGCTTGTCAGGGCACCTTCATGCCTCTGAGGGGTTTCATGGCCCCGCAGGCAGGAATTATAAAACAGAGTCTCTACTTCCCAGCCGAAACCCTCAGCGCCAGGAATCCAGTGCCTTTTCCTCTTCTTTAGGCCGGATTGGATTTTCCGCGTGACAGTGCCGGCTGCGGCCAAGAGCAATTCCTTTCGCAGGGAGCGCCCAGTTCTCCTCCGGGACTTACCAGCAGGGATCAGCAGCTCTCCCAGCGACGGCTTGCTCTTGCGAGCGACTCCTGTGACTCCTGGGTCTTAGGTGGCGAGCTGGCCAACGGCAACTTACAAATAGTGCAGCGGCCAGATGTGCCTGCAAAGCCAGGTTCGTTTAGCGGAAAGTCGCTTAGAGGAGCGAAGGAGAAGAGTCCGGGGGGCGTTGTAGCCAGCAATCGCAGCTCGTGGCAGCTCTCGAAGGCCGTGCTTTTTCTCCGCCAGCGCAAGCAAAGCTGGTTTTTGGATGTCACAGCCGACTGCAACCAATGTTTGAGCCACACTGTAACACAGTCGGACACAAGAAATCCAATGATTGGATTCACGAGAACCTCACGTAGCAAGTCTTAGGCTACTGGCTTAACATTGTCTTTGTCATTGCAGCTGGGCACCATTCATGTTCGTGGTCATATTCGTATAGTCATTCATGCATGGGCGCTCGACAGATGACCTGGAGTCTGCTGACTCTCAAGAGTCTCAACATGAGACACAGCCGCGGCCACCAGAGAAGTGCCGAGTCTGTAGAATCGTGCGCCCGGACACATTCCAGGTCCTTCGCACAGGTGGAGTCTTCGGGGCCGTCCTTTGTAGATGCAGGCGGCAGGGACGCCTTTAATTCAGGGCTCTTTCAAAGGCAACTCGGCCTCCGCTCCGCCTTTTTCAGGCGAGTCCCACTGCGACTCCGTGCTCGCCGAGAGCCGCAGCGGTTCCGTCATCGACAGGACCGACGGGACGTCTCCCCGTGCGACAACACGGGCTCGAGGTCAACTCTTTCCTCGCGAGGACAGAGGAGGAGTCCATTCCTGGGCCGCAGGTGCCTTGCGCCCGGGGGACGTCTCAGGAGAATCACGAAGGCCGGTAGAATTTTTGTGGAGCCTTGAGAAGTTTTCCCAAGCTTTTGGCTTTGGCCGCAGGCCGCTCCGATTCAGTGCCCTCGCCGTCACACTTGCCGCCGTCGCCGCGGCTTCCGCCCTCGATTGAGAAGGACGGCCGAATTTCCCTTCCTCTTGAAACTACCACTGCAAAGCCCGCAGGAGATAAACGAGCTTCTGGAAAAGCAGGGTGCCGCCGACATCTCATCGCAAGACAGCACGGAGCAGCCGCTGAGCAACGAGGTGCAACATCTTAGCAGTCGGCGCGACAGGATACGGACGGGCACACACTTCTGTGACAATAACAGGCGTGATGGTGCAGATCAGTACAGAAAAAGTCACCTTTGCACACGCGCACGCAATCTCGAAGCTAAGCGACTTTTCACGACCGTGAGCTGTGAACCTCCTGCCCCTTTCTAGTGTCGTGCAGGCAAGCAGACGGTAACTGAAGGCTTATGGCAAACCTTGCTGAGCAGTAAGCCAAATCAGTCCAAAAGCCTACGCAAACCGAAACCTGCAGAAACACTTTAAGGCGGACTAGTCCAAGCCTGCGTCGCGCTGACAATGAGACCTGTTGTCCCACAACAGCAAGCGCAACGCTTGCTTTGTCTACGTCCGATTTCATTCCTTGAGTGGTCCCCAGGTGCACACGTCGCATCGCATGCCTTTTGCCGCACCAAAGCGACCCGACATGGTGTCGGGGCCCCGGCACAAACTGCCAAGAGAAGAGCTTGGGGGGGGAGGGGGCCGGGTTGTTTGTTGTGTTGTGAAGAATTGCACTGAGGTATTTCCTCACACTGCAGGAGCAGCGCCTCGCACTGGCGGCTCTGGCAGCTTCTGAGGAACAGCTTGAGCGTGAGCCAACAGCGAGTCCCAGACCGTCCAGACGGCCGCGGGGGGAGCCACGTTACGAGCTGCCACCCGGCCTCAAAGCAGCTGCCGCAAGCGCCGCTAGTCGCACTTCTCTGCGTGTTGGGATATTCCCAAACCGAGGGATGCGCACTGCTGCCTTCAAGAAGCCAGAATTGCCTCGGAGGTGTGTGGGGAGACGGGTTGTCCACACGTGTCATAGTCATAGACGTCATTCGGAGCGAGAAGCATCTCTCTCTCTCTCTCTTGCTCTCGCTCTCTGTGGTCTGAATTCTGAATCTTCTTGCAAGCGCTTTCTGTGGCTTGGCACTCGCACTGGCCGGTAAGTTTTAGGCTTCAGCCGATGCTCCATAATTGTGGGGTGGACACCAAACATGTATTGCACCGGCTGCAACTTTTGAAATTGCAAGTCCCTCAGCACACATGAGACTGCCGGCAACTCTTGAAGTCAGATGCGTGGTGCAATTTTCCTACTGATCCTTTGTGATGCATTTATAGGCATCTGGAAAACTCTCAAGTCCGCATTCCCTGCCCTCTCACTCAGAGTGCACCGGCAGGTGGCCTGGCAGTTCCAGAATGGGGGAAGCAGCCCATCAATCGCGCAGACTGGACGAGCTGATTCCTTAAACTCGTTTCGGGATCGGGCATCACCTGTATTGGTGCAAGCCGAGGAGTCGAAACCTGGGCGCAACGCGCATTGGCCTCAATGTTGGTACCAGGAGATGATGCAGGTTGTTACACGGGCGACGCGGCTCAGCTTGCGCGTCGAAAGAACCAGACTTTCGGACGAGCACGGTGGGATGGCATCGAGTCTTCGCTGACCGGACGCACACGACAGAACTCCATGGATCAGGTGCGAGAGCCTTGGATGCCACGAAACCAATGTGGGGAATATCGAAAAGCTTGGGGCCAGCAGCATGCGAAACAAGTGTTTCTCTGCGCGAACATGCATGCATGCACGTGCGTTTGTGGGTGTGTGTTTGCGAGTGCTCTTTTATGACTTCTGTTCACTTCGTGCGCAAGACTGCTCTACAACTGACGACTGGACTCTCAGTTCAAGTGCATCCACACATCACAACACCGTTCACTGCTGCCGACAACAGCCGCCGAAAGCTCGGCACTGCCCTCTCTCCTCGCTCCTCGTCCTCCAAGGCCAAGAAGTGTACCGCCCCTGCAGTGGCACGAGGTTGGAGACGGGACTTTGCATGGAAGGAGAAAGTCTCAGCGTCATCCCACGGCAAAGGCTCGCTCTTGGAGCCCACTGAGAGGTCTGAAGACACCTGGACCTGGAGGCCCCTCGCTCGAGTCGCCCTCGAGCGAAGATTTGGGTCATGCTCGCCTCCACCTCAGGCACGGCCTCGACGTGGATGGGCTCGGAGCCACCCGGCACCGCCGGGACCGCCTCGAGCGCTGCCAGTGCCTCTGAGGAGGCGCGACCAGCGAAGTGCGAAGATAAAGGAACGATTTTACCCGACAAAAATTCCCGGAGATCTTGGGACGGTTTGAGGGGTGTCTGGAGATTCTGGAGTTGAGTTGGAGGGGTTTCAAGAGGAAGGGCCGCAAGATGCCAGGCGGCCGTGTCACCACGTCAGGGTGTCAGCAAGAAAGGCGCCTTGTGCTGCACTGGAGGCAATGAAGGGCCGCCGTGGGCGATTCTGAGGCTCAGCTCGGCCTCGCTCGGGAGTTCGGCCAGTTCTCATCTTCCCCATCAAGGCGCCGCCAAAAGCACGCGAAGTGGCAAACCCTTCCTTTGCTCACGTTGTGAGATGAAGGACCGGGACGCCCCGGAGCTGCGGGTGCAGGAAAACCGACAGAGACAAGATGCGGGATGCCTAGAAAGCACAGGTGGAAGGGTGATAGCACACAGCACCATGAAGCTGAGGCCTTCACACGGCGACAAAGAAGAGCGAACTCGCCCAAGCAAGGTCGGGGCATTGTCGCGGGTTCCAATGTCGCACCAGCCCCAAAACCCAGAAACCGGCCGCCAAGGGGAAGCCGCCTGACTGGTAATTTGCAAACCCTAAACCCCAATACCCGCCGCCCAAAATCCCGAAATCCTCAATCCCAGAGTCTCCATGTCGCGTAGCGGCATCACTCACTCACATCGTTTCCCTTGTCATACCACACACAATCAGAACAACCAGGATCGTCGGCTAATGCAGCTACAAGAAGCATGGAATTGCCACGTTGCGTTGTTATGTTTGTGCTTTTCTTAAAGCCCTGCTGGAACCCTGAAGAATTAACATTTTTCCCAGACACGCACGCAAGTGGCAGGCCTTTGCCGGCCGTGTTCTCCTCCGCACACCCCCAAAACCCCCAAAGAGGAAGCCGCCTGACTGGCGGACCTTTCCCAGCTCAGCTATCTTCAATCCTCCAAACCAACACATGTAGCAAGCATACCTGTATCCGGCGTGCCAAGCACCCATATTTCCTACCACTCTGCTGGGCGATAAATGCCAGGTCCTTGTTAACCGCTACTGTATGGCTCTTTGCTTGGCTGCTTCTTCTCCTGCTTGTGATGCTCTGACTTCCCGGCCTCCAAGCCGTTTGAGGCAAGTGCCTTGACTCCGAACTGTTGAGCTAGTTGTCAGCTGCATGCCCCTCAAAGGCCGTGCTGGCCGAAGAGTTCGATGGCTGCCTCCGCTGCGCCAACTCTCAGCACCCCAGTCCAGCACCTTGGCCTGAGCTAGTGGGCCCAATCGGCACAGTGTGCCATCGCCATGCGCTTGAGGCGTGCTACCAGATATGCGCCGTGGAACTCGGCAAGCTCCTGGCGAGGTCCTGGCCCGAGCGCCCCCGGCAGGGGGTCGCACCGCAGGTGTCGAAAAAAGAGATTGGAAGTGGTCCAATTCTGCAGTCGCTCGAGGCTGACGCGTGAGGCTCTGCCTCTCGTCTCACTTTCAGAACGCGCGTGACCAACTCGGTGTCTCTTGAGCTCAGCTCACATTACTCGGCAGAGGCAGCGTCCAGCCCTGCCAGCTGACCTGCCGCAGCTTTTCCAGCAGGGGATCAACATGGTCCTCGGCTCAAAACTTCCAGCCAGAAGGTGCTGGCAATGCATGAACATGATTTCGTTGGTCCTGAAGTATAACAGCACACAGGTCATCACGTGTCGTCTTACTGGGTTGAATCGGGTGCAGCTTCACAGACATGCGCACACCGCAGGGGTTACCCCTTTTTCATGCCTGCAACGCCAAAGCAAGGTTCAAGGCTGACCTTTACTGGACATCAATGCGTAAAACGCAGTCCTTGGCAAGTCCCTGCGCAGCACGAAGCTCGAAGCCAACAGAGACTCAAAATCCATGCCATTGTTGCCTGCCGTCATTGCAACAAGCAAAGTGTTCAGAGGCAGAGACAATACCATGTTGATCGACATCAAGCTTCTGTCTGCACTCATGTGCGCAGATCATTCGCACGACTTCGGATGTGAGCCTGTGCATGCGCTCCCATCAGGAAAGCCTTACTTAGGACATCATGCGGCTCTGTTCCGGAAACTGTATGTCAGGGCTTGGCTGTCCTGTCTGTGATGTAATTATCCATGAAGTGTCATTAAATCCATGACATGGATGCCCTTCCTTGCTACGGCATCCATAGCACACACGCACGCACGCACGCACGC